CAAAACACAACTCACAACTCACAAAACACAACTCACAACACACAACACACAACACACAACTCACAACTCACAACTCACAACACACAACACACAACTCACAACACACAACACACAACTCACAACTCACAAAACACAACACGCAAAACACAACTCACAACACACAACTCACAACACGCAACTCACAAAACACAACACGCAAAACACAACACCTAATATATCCCAGGGCCCTTCATGCAGTCGGATGGCCGAGCATATTCGGCGCAGGACACCGAAAAAAGGTTCCAAAGAAAGTATAATTAGAAACACCCGGGCTGTGCACGCAAGGCCCAGAATGCCCAGAAAGAGCCGCCTGGGTCTGCATGGGTCTCCCGCTGCTCTGGCCTTGCACCCGCCCAGCCGCTCGGCGCCTTCCCCACAACAAAAGGCCCTTTGGCGCTGTGGGCTCCAGGCGTGGCGGGGCGCTCTAGATGCGCGGGGCCCCACGCGCTCCGGCCCGCGGTTCGAGAAACAAGCTTCCTGCTTCGCTGTCCTTTATTTTGCTAGGGCCGCGGCGCGCGTGCGGCCCGCTTTGGGATATTGGCTTCGCTCAGGACCTGTTTCGCCGCGCGCACCGCGTTCTTTCGCCAGGCGGTCTTAGGGCCCCCGGCCCCCCGTCCCGCCGCGTGGCCCTAATCTCGCCAGAAAGCCGGGCCCCGTGCCCACTCGCCCAGACCAGCGGCGCACGGCTGCCCTGTAATTGCCCATGCCCCTCCGGCCCTTTCCACGTGCCTTCGGCCGGCGAAACACATTTTTGCCCAAGCCGTGGTCACGAGCCCTCGCCGCACAACGCCCGGCATATTACGGAAAGAAAGTCTCCCCGTGGTGGGAATTTGGGCCACCGCCTTTCGGTGGGCCCCATGCTGCCCTGCGCTTGCACGGGGGTCCGGCATGCGCGGCCCTGGTGGGCTCGCCGGCCCTGGTGAATGCAGGTAGCTTTTTTCTGCCTTGGCCGCCGCACCCGTCCACCGGGCCCTCCCCTTGGCTCGCCCTACGCGGCGGTGGTTCCAGCTCCACACAGGCGCTCTTTTTTTTTCTCTCCCTTGCACAGTGCTTCCCTCGTCCGCCTGTTCTTTTCTGCTAGAGCACCCGTATTCTGGCACGCCCGCAAAGCAGCTCTCTAGCGAAAACAAAGAACCACCATGGCGTCCTCCCGATCCAATGCCCGCCTCATCCGATTCGGCATTTTCGCCCTCGTGTTGTTTTTCTGCGGCTACATCCTCACCAAGGGCTCCTCATACCCGGCAGGCGCCCCTGGCGGAGCGTCCACGGCGGCTAAGAACGCCCAGAACGCGGTTTCCGGCGGCCAGGCGGCTGCCCCCGCCGCCGCCGCCGCCGCGGGCCCGCTTGCCGGAAACGGCGCCGGTGCCGCTTTCCTGATTCCTCCCGGCAAGGTCAAGGCTACGTTCGTCACGTTGGCCCGCAACTCCGACTTGCAAGGATTGACCCAGTCCATCACGCACATCGAGGAGCGGTTCAACAGCAAGTACCACTACGACTGGGTGTTTTTGAACGACGCGCCCTTCGACGAAGACTTCAAGACCGCCGTCCAGGGCATGGTTTCGGGCCAGGCCAAGTTCGGGCTCATCCCGCAGGAGCACTGGTCGTACCCCGAGTGGATCGACAAGGAAAAGGCCGCGTTGGGCCGCGAGGAAATGGTGGCCAAGAACGTGATTTACGGCGGCTCCGAGTCGTACAGGCACATGTGCAGGTTCGAGTCCGGCTTCTTCTTCAGACACGCGTTGTTGGAGGACTACGAGTACTACTGGAGAGTCGAGCCGGACATCAAGATCCACTGCGACATTGACTACGATCTTTTCCAATACATGAAGGACAACGACAAGTGGTACGGCTGGACGATCTCCTTGCCGGAGTACCGCGAGACCATCCCCACCTTGTGGGACACCACCCGCAAGTTCATGGAAGAGAACCCCCAGTACCTTGCCAAGGACAACAACATGGCCTGGATCTCCAACGACAAGGGCAACACGTACAACGGCTGCCACTTCTGGTCCAACTTCGAGATTGGGGCCTTGGGCTTCTGGAAATCCGAAGCGTACTTGAAGTACTTCGACGCTTTGGACAAGGCCGGTGGTTTCTTCTACGAGAGATGGGGCGACGCCCCCGTGCACTCCATCGCCGCGTCTCTCTTCATGCCCAGAGACAAGCTTCACTTCTTCCAGGATGTCGGCTACTTCCACACGCCCTTCAACAACTGTCCCGTGGACCAAGAACTCAGAGCCCAAAAGAAATGTCTGTGTGAGCCGGAGCAAGATTTCACTTGGAGGCCTTACTCTTGCACGCCTAAGTATTTCACGTTGAACGGATTGAAGAGACCCAAGGGCTGGGAGAACTTCACTTCTTAAATGTGCTTTTTTGGACAACCCCACATCTGCTCGTGGTGTATCTAGCGTCGGGTATATGGCGCTGCGGCGATTCGCTCTCCACGTACAACCCTTACACTAACATTCATAGAGTGAAAATTACAATTTGAAACAAATAACCCCCTTTGACACCATCTAGAAGTAGTGAGATCCTGTCTGGTCTTGTTGAGGTTCGCAGAAACCCTGAGGGAATAGCCCTGTCCGGTTTTCTGCATCATGTGCCAAGCCATCTCTATGGCACAGCTAATTTACATGACGAAGAGTTTTTCTTCTTTCCTAAATTTTTCCTCTTGGGGGTTTTCTCCTATCTAAACTTATATATCTACTTGAATCGCTCCTAGATTATCATGACTGGATCCACTACTGAAGAGGAGTCTTTCAAAGACCCACTTCAGAACCAGGACTTCTGTCGTTTCTCCAGGGGCCCTCACTACTAGTTCTGTCCTTTCTTCCACTCCTTCTGGATATAAGAAACTAAGCCCTTATATCCGCTAACGGACCGTCTACGGTATTGTTACTGGCACCCGGACTGCGTATAGTTACAACGCCCGCTTTATGCAGAGCTTCAACGGGTCTTAGTTGAATTGTCAACACAGTTATAAATTCTTCCAATCTTATCCTTCTCAAACGTTGCCAACTTTCTTTCACAAGGAAGCACCTGCTTTAAACAAACTCAGGCGTCCCGCGAATTCCAGTGGAGACTGCGTGGCAACAGACAATAAGCTTTTTAAGCCCAATGATGCGGGGAAAATGGTTTCATCAGCCATTCTCTTACCCAGACAGCGTTTACGTCTAATTCGTTTCAACCCCTGCTGGCGAGACATTTGGCGATGTCGCATGAGATACAAACCAGTCCGGTGCAAGAAAAAAAAAACAATCTGGGCACTCCTATCAGTGGTTTTTTGCAAGCTCAATCAAAATTTTGACATGAGGCTCGAAAGCCGAATGACGCGACCAGTCTGCGAATCCTGTTGGCCAGATGCTCTTTACGGTAAAACTCACTCAGTTTCATATTCGGTGCGTTTCAGAGCAGTATACAAACCTGCCTTCGGCCATTCGAACGAAATGTGGTAGTCCGGCATGGCAAGGTCGCAAACTGTTTTTCCTGGAGTCCGAAGATCTGACACGAGTAATTGTATTTCGAATCAGGGTCTAGGGGGGAACGTAACCACTATCTTGCCCGGCACTTTCGGATACTACAAATGTGCGAAGTCAAACCCAATAAATGGCGCATGGCTGTTTAGCCCACTCAACAGCTCGCGCATAGTTTGAGTAGCAAATTCCCATGTAAAACCCAACGCGCGATCGTTTCGCGCGCGAAGCAGCCCACCATTAATCTAAGCGCAATCTGCACTCGGATTGTCTTTGAAAACATCCAATAGCTTGAACCTGCTAGTTAAAAAACATCCGTTGAGCAACCTTTGAAACCCTCGCGAAAAGCCAAGTTTCTCAAGACAACAAAAGGTTTCAAACAGCATTAGGTTTGCTCTCACAAGATCCTCCGTGCCTCTTGTTGTTGTTCCGGCAGATCCGCTCGTTTCATAGGACCACCTTTTTTTCACCACGGCGGCAATCCTGCCGCGCAGCCTCACTACAAATTCTGGCCGCCCCTGTCTACGATACCTTCCAAACCTTATTTTTTTAAACACTCTTAAGCCTGCCCCGCCGCAGACTGATATAATAAACATTAGAAGCATTCCCCATGTCCGTCAAGAAAAAAAACCGCCCTTTCCAGCTTGAGCTCTCTAAAGACAAGGACAAATCTGACATGATCTTGAGAACCGTCAGCCCAATCACGCCACAATTCGTCAACCTGGACATGCGAGACACTCTCAAAATCAGCGAAGTGATCAGAATACAACAGAACGAGCTCATAGCATCCGGATAATATGAAACCAGCCCTTCCCCTAGCAGCTCCGTTAGGCAGACGCCGATGTCTTCGAACTGGTCCGATGTGCCTTCTGCGAAAACAGCCTCCAGCTCGACAGCAGATGGCGAAGCAGACCTGAAGTCAAATGCAATAAGCAAGCAAACAACAGAGATAACCCCGAATGAAACGCCCAAAAACGGAAACTACACCACCGACACCTCGCTTGGTACTGAACACCAGCAAGTCATTGAAATCGACTGCGATGAGCTCAGTGACACCGAGAGTGTAGACTGCGAGCACGAAAACGGAGCATTGTACGAGTCAAGCCCCTTGGAGGGCTCCGAGTTGGAACGGATCGCCAGCTCATTGACTCGAAAGACGCTAAAACGGAACAATGCTCCAGGGCCGCTCCGCATCTCTCCAAAGGTGCACGCCGGTTCTACGGCACCGGCAATCAACTCTGCGCCGATGCGTTCTCTATATGGCCCACAAGCACTCCGCCGAGTCCCCGTACGGTATCTATATCCGGCCATGGGCCATTTCCCACAAACCGCCGTCCATTATATGCCCACGCCTATCAGGCGAACTACAGGCGCAGGTTCCGAAAGAGTTGCGAAACCGCGCCTGCCACGTGCCATGTCGGCAAGAAGAAGAAAGCCGGTTTTGGATGTGTTTGAGGGCCAGGTGGCAAAACTAGCACCCATGCCAGCGCAGCCCCCCTCCGCGCAGATTGAGCACTTCGATGTGGGCCACAGCGATGAAGAGAAGGCGACCCAAGATGAGATGGACGAGATGGAAATCAAGCGCCGACGGACCACATCGGCCCTCAGGGGCACCATATCGTTCAACGAAGAGTCAGCTTTCAAGTTCACCATTTTTCAGGGCAACGAAAGCAACGCGAAGAAGAAGTTCTTGGAGGTCTGCGAGACCACGTGGGATAAGTACATGGCCAACTCGACTGGTTCGTAGGGCTCATTTTTATGCATTGGGTAGTGATAATATACGTTTAATTTGTATTTTTGCACGCAGCTTTTTATGATGACAATTATTCTCAACGTGTCAGTTGAATTGAAGGTTATTCTGTGAGCCGTGTCTTTAGAGAGGGATAGACGAGGCAATAACGAAAAGGGTCTTGTTTAGAACGTAAGAAAAGGAAATATTGTCATCAACGGGCAGTGCCGTCGGGGCGCAAAGTCATGACAGGTAATCAGGTAAATGAAGTAGATGAACCCTTGGAAAACAGGGGAAAGGATTTCATGGACTTGTATTGATCATGCCTTGCCTTTCACCTCAAGGAATTCCCAGGCCCTCCTTTCCGATTGAAAAGCTCCAAACAATCCCGGAATCTCGATATCTCTGTAGTTAATATTACATTTGGCAAGGAGCCAATTATTCTTTTTTTAGGACGAATCCGCGGAAGTTTTCGAGCAAATAGAAAGTACCCAGTCTTCCAGATCCGTCAAAAAAATGAATCACAACAAATAAGTTACAGCAAGTAAAACCAGTGCATTCGATAACTTGTGAATGTCCTTCTGAGCACATACCACGAAATCATTAATGATGTAATCGGAACACATTATCAAACGACACATCGAAATTCGTGCACCCACAATAGCAGTGTCACGTGACCATGGTCAGTTCTCGAGCGACGGCAAATTGCCTCTCAGTATGGGAAAAGATCGCCAAAAACTTCAACGACACTCATAACTTCAACACCATGCTAATGAGACGGTCGTTGCTCACGGCGGCTGGATCAGCCCGTGTCGGGATCCGGTTTCCGAGAGCCGCTACCCCTGTTTTGCAAGTACCCACACATCGAGCTTTCTCCTCTTTTAACAGATTACAACTTCACAGCACTGCAAGTTTATACAACAGCAACAAACCAAGCAAAGACGAAGCGCCCAACAAAGAGTCAGAAGAAAAAAAGCAGAGTAGACCTCCTAAAAAGGAGGACGAGTCGGGACGCGAAGGGGAACCAAAGAAGAAGCCTCTGATCGAAGAAGAGAAGGTGAGAAAGCATCTCGAAGAGCTCATGAAAAAGAATCCCAACCTTAAGAATTTGAAAATGGTCGAAATTAACGGTGCAACTATTGCCAAATACAGCCTCGGCTTCACGATTTTCACCACCTTATTGGTGATCTACACCTTGACGCAACTGCAAAATCATGACGAGCTCTCCTTCCAGGATTTCCAGAATCGTTACCTTGCCAAGGGCTTGGTCACAAAGCTCACGGTGATCAACAAGTTTGCCGTTGAGGCAGAGTTGATCATGGGTGCCTTTTCAGATGAGACTGTGCGTGGGTCAGACGGCCATCCCATGGTTGTATTCACCATTGGCTCAGTGGAGGTTTTCGAAGAGGAAATGAATGCCATTCAAGACAAACTAGGTATCCCTGTCGAAGAGCGCTTGCCTGTGCTGTACGTGGACCGTGGCTCCTGGCTAGGCGTGTTGCTTCCTATTTTGCCCACTGTTTTGTTGATCGGAGGACTATGGTATATCACTACCAAACGTGCGCTGGCTCAAGGTGGGGCAGGCGGCGGCCCAGGTGGAATTTTCAAAATCGGAAAATCCAAGGCAAAGTTGTTTAACCAGGAAACAGATGTCAAGATCAAGTTCAAGGACGTTGCTGGTTGTGAAGAATCCAAGGAAGAAATCATGGAGTTTGTTAAGTTTTTACAAGATCCCGTGAAGTACGAAAAGCTTGGTGCAAAAATCCCCAGGGGTGCTATTCTCTCGGGTCCTCCAGGAACAGGTAAGACTCTTTTGGCCAAAGCCACTGCAGGTGAGGCAGGGGTCCCCTTCTTGTCTGTTTCGGGTTCTGAATTTGTGGAAATGTTCGTGGGTGTAGGTGCCTCTCGTGTGCGTGATCTTTTCAAAACTGCAAGGGAAATGGCTCCCTCAATCATCTTCGTTGATGAAATCGATGCGATTGGAAAAGAAAGAGGCAACGGGCATATGGGCGGAAACGACGAAAGAGAAAATACTTTGAACCAATTGCTTGTGGAAATGGATGGCTTCGAAGAGTCGGACCACGTTGTCGTATTGGCCGGTACAAATCGTGCAGATGTCTTGGACAAGGCTTTGCTAAGACCTGGCAGATTCGACAGACATATTTCGATTGACACCCCGGACATTGAGGGAAGAAAAGCCATTTTCCAAGTTCACTTGTCTAAAATCACACTTAAGTCAGTTGAAGAAATTAAGGCCAGCCACAACGATGTTGACTTCAGCAAGTACCATCAGTTGATCGACGAGGCGATCGAAAAATTGGCTGGTAGATTGGCTGCTTTGACGCCCGGATTCGCCGGTGCGGATATTGCCAACTGCTGCAACGAAGGCGCGTTGATTGCAGCAAGAAACGATTCTCAATCCGTTGATGTGTACCATTTCGAACAGGCTATTGAAAGGGTGATTGCCGGATTGGAAAAGAAATCCCGAATTTTGAGCCCCGATGAAAAGAAGACGGTTGCGTACCATGAGGCCGGTCATGCTATTTGTGGCTGGTTCTTGGAATTTGCTGACCCATTGGTGAAAGTTTCCATCATTCCTAGAGGACAAGGTGCTTTGGGATACGCCCAGTATTTACCAAAGGATCAATACTTGGTCTCTGAGGAACAATTCAAGCATAGAATGATTATGGCTTTGGGAGGCAGAGTTAGTGAAGAATTGCACTTTGAATCTGTTACAAGCGGAGCTTCGGATGACTTTAAAAAAATTACCCAGATGGCACAATCGATGGTTTTGAAGTTAGGAATGTCCGATAAACTTGGCAATGTGTACTTCGATAACGGCGATGAAAATAGTGGCATGAAGGTTCACAACTTGTACTCTGAAACCACTGCCCGTGTGATTGACGAGGAGGTGAAGCGCTACATCGATGAGGCCTACGTAGAGTGCAAGGCTTTATTGACCGAGAAACTCGACTTGGTTGACAAGATTGCCCAGGAGGTGTTCAAGAAAGAGGTTTTGACCAGGGAAGACATGATCAGAATCTGTGGCCCACGTCCATTCCCAGAAAGAAACGAGGCATTCGATAAGTATCTCCTGGGTGATGATGCCTTTAAGGGAAGACCGTCTGCATGATCTGGATCTATGGAGGATACATACATCAAAATCAACAACATTTAGACACTTTTGTAAATAGTTAACTATATCATACTGTATTTATTTTTGGCAGTCCATATAGCCCCAGTGAATCAGTTATGTATGTACTCGTTCAAACTTGAACCTATGATTCATCCTGGAACAATTCTTCAATCGAGGAGTATCCCTGTTCTTGTGTGCTTTGTCCACAATCAAGATCGAAGTCTATATCACCATCAAGTATATCAAGTTTCGGGACTTCATCATAACAATTTGCTGTAGACATCCATGTGCGCTTCTGTCTAGGCACAAACGATGTATCTGCTATTACGTTTTCGCTTTTATTTGAATGTAGACCATCTTCCTGGCCTTCCTTTTCCTGATCTGAGAAAATTATACTAGAGACTGACTCTGTGAAGTATTCTGCAGGTTCCTCAACACCTGCTTTGGAAGTTCCTTGACACCTTGACTGTGTGAGAGAATTATTTATGTGGGTGTTCATGTGGTTGAAGTACTCCGTATAGCTAGTGTCGGTCATATATTCGCAGCCCAAAAGTGGACAAAGAAAAACTTGCTTTCGTGGCGAGCATAATCTAGGAGATTGCAGTTGGTGTATTCGTAGATTTGTCTTGTCTGTGAATAGTTTCAGACATCGACTCAATCCGAGGGTCGACCCGCATCTAAATGGACTGACCGAAAGGGTGCTGACTTTAATTGGAAAATGTAAATTTAGCTTGAGGATTGTGTCGCCTGGAATATGGTATTCATATTTTTGCTTGCTGTGAACGGGGTAGCCTATTTGTTGTAGTTCCGGTGAATGTGACGATAGTAGGTGCGATCTATACGAGGCCTTGCTGGTAGACGTGTATTGACATCCGTGAAAAGCGCAAGTGAAATAGGAGTATTGCGCAGGTTCACTGAGTTCTGTGATCAGAAACAGCTCTTCATATTCGTAGTTCTCGTCAGTGTCTTTCTTGTCTTCATTCAGCTGGGACATTGTAATATGTTTGAAACTGTGAGGTGAATCGGGAGAACTTGTTAATTTTGTAAACAGCACATTAGAAGGCTTCGTCTCATTCAATTCATACAAGGCCGGACATTTTATCCTAGTAGGGCTTTCAAGCAGAGTTTGACTTGGAGACGATGCCAACGACGGCAGCCTTTGCTTTAACGGGCTTGTTTCAGGGGTATTGAGTCTGAGACCATAGCTCAACACCTTTGGTGCATTTTTAATTGGCGAAGACTGAGACAGGGAAGTCGGAGAATCTGATGTTGTTTTCTGCTTCTTCGTTGGCGACGAGTTCAATAGCAGAATGTTGTCAGGCAAAGGCTCAGTCCCGAAATCCATGAGTTGCATGTTCTTATTAAAGAACAAGCCACTCGCCTTGAGCCTCTGTTGCTCCTCGTGCCGCAAGCGTCGCCGGAGTTTTTCTGCATGTCTATGCTTTCTCAGTTGTTTCTCAAATTGATCATCCACAGCCCAAACACTGGAAGAAATATGAGCGCTGCTTGAATGAAGACCGTCAACAAACGAGCGTAAATGGCCATTGTCTATCGTGATTTTTCCTGTGCTGAGATCGATTTCATCGCTCTCCTTGTTATCGTCAACTTTCGAGTATTTGGCGATGATTTCGTCCCATCTTTTGTGCAAACGATCTGTATTCTCTGCCTTCAACCTCGATACATCAGATTCAAGCTGTGGATTTGAGTATTGCCACGCGTTGCCATACACATGGTCTTCCTGAGAAGTGTCGTAGTCAGAGCTGTCGTCAAGCGAGATCAGTCGGTCGATTTCCGAGGGTACCGATACCATGGTGGCCAGGTACTAGACTCACAGCTTGGTGAGCTAAGGTCGCTTGATCAGGTCACGTGCGCAAAGCATATCTAGAGAACATGAACAAGCCACTTGGCAACAACATAAAGAAAAAGACAGACATTGAAAATAGAAAGCCCTAGCTTCCTGTCACAATGAGGTTTGATAGCCAATGTGGAGAGTCGTAATTAAAAGTTGTGGTCTATGTGGTTAGGAGTCAGCATATTGGAAATGACTCCAATAGCAGACGGAGGATGAAAATACCGCAACGAAAAATAAACTAAAGAAACACGTTGCAGTGGCATTCGCTATATACATGGGCCCTATGTTGTCTCAACTGTCAAAACTCCATCCCCTTCAAAATTAGTTACTTCTCATCGACCGTGTGGGTGCGCTCGTTGTTCTTGTTCGCTTCCCAGCACTTGCGGAACGCCGCCATTTGGCCGAGGCATTTCCGCCAGTCTCCTTCGTCAGCATGGCACAACTGGAGCGCCAAATTTTCCTCGTAGCAACCAGTTTTCAAAATCCTCTGGTCCCACTCATCTGGGGTGTCGTCGTCCTCTTGCAAAGTAATGTTCGTCGCTGGTTTCATCGGAATGAATGCGTAGTAGCAAGCATGCTGGTAATTTGCTCGTCTGATGTATCGCACTCTGACTCGACACGCCGCAGTCACAGGATGGAACTTCACGGCTGAAGGGAGACTTAAGTGAGACGGCTGATATTTTGTGAGCCGACTAATATTTATTACTGTCGACTCTGTGATGCTCATGGCCTCTCGGCTGTTTTGTAGCGGACTAGGGCCTGGCCCAAAGTCTGCCCAGCACTCTCTTAGTAATTTATTTGAAGGTGTGTAATAAAGCATGGCTCTGAGCGAATGTATTGCCATGCCGTTATCCTAAAAACCTTGTGTCAGGCGAAACACTCACTATAGGGTTGGGAGGCTTCGCACAGGCTGATACTATATAATACACATGGGTGGTTCGCTGGGATGACTTCATCGGCGTGCACTGATGATCACTTCTCAGGCAAACCTTAGAACCCAAAGCCACTCTTAGAGTATGCCATGGGCTTGAGGTCTGGGTGCGGCACGGCCTTAAACGTCTCGATCTTCAAGTCCCACGGACAGTTTGGATCCTCGGCCAACCGGTATCCCTCACCATCGTCGGCATGAGCGTCGTAGCTAGGGTTCTCGGTAATATGCACCACACCACCCAAGTTGCCGGTCGAGTCACAGTAGTTGGGGGCACTGAAGACGGTGATGAGACGGCCCTTGTGCTCCACCTCCACACCCTCCATGCGGACCTCGTGCGAGCGCAACACCTTGCGGATTTTGTTGCTCAAGCAGAAACGCTCCGTGATGTCCGGCCCAAACTGGATACCCAAGCCTCTTTTGGAAGGCGAGCGCCCGTTTTCGGGCTGCGGGTCTGTCCAAAGCAACTCCATGGCAAGCCCTTCGCGATCCGGCTGCGAGGAGCCTGAGATTGGGAACCGGTTGATGGCCTTGATATCCTTCAACTTGACCTGGTCGTTCGAGAACAACCCGCCATGCATGACCAAATACAGCTGGTTGATCAACGTGGCAAGCGGAAGCGCACCGAACGACTCGGCGAACGCCTCAAATACTTTCTTGGAGTACTTGGCCTCGCACTCGTCTGTGAAGCCATATGTCTTATTCATGTCGTTAGTTTCGTGGTTTCCTCTGTTGATGAAACACGACCGTGGGTACAAGATTTTGAGCACGTAGAGGTAGAGAGCCACCTCACACGACCACGAGCCCCTGTCGACGAAGTCACCGTTGAAGAGATAGATATGGTCCTCGGAAACATGTCCAAACTTGCCGAAGAGATTCATCACGTCATAGAACTGGCCGTGGGTATCTCCCACCACAGTGACAGTCTTCCCCTTCTCCAATACGATCTCGTCCTCATTCTGCGCATCCGGTCCACCAAGCTTTGAGTGCGGTAGCGTGATTTCCACCAACGCCTGTTCTTGCTTGCAGAGCTCGTGTACTTTGGCCACAATCGCGAAAACATGCTTTTTGGGGAGCTTGCCTCCATCTTTAAAAAGCTTTATCATGTACTTGAGGTAGTCCTGGTCCAAGCCTTTGATTTGGACAGAGACGTCGCCTGTGTCTGGGTTTTTCAGCTGGGTGACATCCAACTCAGGTCCTGTCCAAGATTTGTCCACCAACATGCCCTCATAGTCCAAACTATTTATCACGGACGCCTTCTCGTCGCCGGCAATAGCACGCTCAAACGCACGTTTCTTCAAGTAGCTCGCACACTGCTTGAAGTTCTCGTTGGTGGCGCGGTCACCCGGCACTTTTTTCAAGATGATCTTGAAATTTGTCTGGGCCTCTTTGTAGTTTAAAAGGGCCATCAACGATACACCCTTTCTATAGTACGCTTTCACGAACTCTGGGTCCACCTTTAAAGCAGCATCACAGTCAGCTATTGCCAGTCCGTAGCTTTCCATCTTGATATGGACCTGAGCCCTGTTTGAGTAAAATACAGGGTTCGTGGAGTCGAGCTCGATGGCTTTAGTATATGCATCGATGGCATCCTGGTATCTATGCTCTTTAAGAAAGGCATTTCCCTGATCCTTCAAGGCCACGGCCTGTTCTTTTGACATTACAGGTGTTCTTAAACGATCAGTGTAAAGTCTGAAGTGTCCGCGTACAACTTTTGCTCACGGATTTTTGAGGGCTGTATCTCGTTGCGTGTACCGGGCTTTTTTTCTCCTCTTCGCTTCAATTCATGTATTTGATCTCGCATGTAACATTTCCAAGCTTCTTTCGCGCTGCTCGCAGCACTCTCTCAATGCCATATATGAGACTCGAATTTACTGGTAAACATCTTTTTATATTGAATTCGAAGTATTGTGATACATTCTGATACTGGTCACGTGAGTCTAAACTGGCATCCTGCTTCCATGCACTCACGCTTTGATGCGCAAGCCCGAGGCCGGAGCGCCTATTCTGGTCACGTTTGTAATACGGCACACCTGGCCCTTGTATTCCAGCTTGTACTTGGCACCCACCAATGCCTCGCTGACAACACCGGTGCCATTGTAAATGGGCGTGAACGATGCGCAGCAAATGTCAAACTCTGCGTAAGGGTCGAAGTCAATTTCGTGCGCCTCGCTCGAGATCGACTCGGCTCTAGCACGGATTTTCTGCGCCTGTTCCGCTTTAGCTCCAGTGGAAATAATAGACAAAAGCTCTCCTGCAAAATAGGATGCGCTAGTGTAGTTCTTGTTCTTGAACGATTGCAGCATGGCGACTTGTAAGGCATTTACACGGTGCGCGTTCTGAAGCTTTGCCCTGGTGAAGTATGCGGCTAGTTCGAGGTTGCGCTTCACGTCTGATGGATCGAGGGCACGGCGCTCCAACTCGATCGACAAGCCCAAGATATACTCTCTGCACAAAATCAAAATGTCGTCGCATTTAGCCTCTTGCTCCTCATCATCCACAGTCATCACAGCTATGGTGTAGATAATGTCTCTGAACACATTTATCGCCTCGGGCAAGTTATTGGTTTTGAAAAGCTTGAAAGCATTGCTCAACTTCTCCTCCAAAGAATCGTACCCGGGAATGAATGGTCTGAATTTCTTTGGGTCATCTTCGTCGTTGTGCTCCCTGATGTAGTCCTTCATTGCTGGCAAATCCTCCACACCAGGCAAGTACAATTTGTTGCTAGTGTACACTTCCAAAAATCTCTTTCGCAAAGGACTGAAATTCACAACTGCAAGCTGCTTGTTCAACAAGGTAGCTGCCTGTTCGAACGCACCTGCTGCCACATAACCAGCTGCAGTCTTGTTGTTACGAAGCCAGAAGGCGATTTCACCGTTGGCACCGTCCTCGGTCTTGGTAGAAAGTGGAGTTGCGTCTTCTGCATCTTCAATGTCTTCAAATTCATCGGGAATGTCGAGATCCTCATCCTCCATGTCCCATCCGCCGTCGTCTTCCTCGATTTCGTCATCAAACGCAGCGTCATTGACTTCAAAGGCATTAGTGCTGGTAAATGGAGCAGTCGCTGGTTCAGGCTCGTCCTCGATGCTCAAGTCATCAACTTTCCCGGTGACCAAAGCACTTTCGAAGAAGGACAACTTCCCTTCGCCGATGGGCCAGTTCTTGGCAACTTCGCCCTCAGGGTAGGCAAATTGCACTGGGGCTTCCAACTCGGGCAATTGGATGTCACTAGCGTTTATTCCTGCGGCTTCCAAAATCTGGTTGGCCCTTTCATTCATACCGTTGGAGGCAGCCAAGGTATAAGCCAAAGGAAACATGCCGACCTTCAAGTATGCATCGATTCTTGCCACGACATCGTTGTTATACAAGGTGTTTTGCACAAGGGCAGACACGCTCGAGCGGGCATTTGCAATCAATGACATTTTGTCTAATCTCTCTTTGTCGCCCTTGTACAAGTAAAGGAAAGACAACTTGTCAAACTCCTCCAATTGCTGGTAGACTCTCTCGACAACCTCCACGTTTCCTTGAAGCAAGGCCTCGTGGCCCAACCTCTCCCACTTGGCATTGTTCTTCAATTTGTTCGCCTCGGTCTCGGCGATGACCAAGTCACCGCATTCCAACGCCAAGTCGAATCTGGATTCGGGGTCCTGAACGAATTGCAAGGCCACTTCAGGGTAGCCCTTCTTTTGCAAGTAAGCAATGATGCTCTGGCCCACCAAGTTGGAGGTCTGGATGATACGCAACACTTCGTTGAAGTTTTTGTTGACCAACGACTTCTTGAACCTGTACTCAGCAGGATCAATTGGCAAGATCTCAACCTGGCCAGCTCTGTTCAAGCAGTAGACCTTGGAGCCGGAGACCCGGGTGATGTACATGGTGTTCTCCAAGGTCTTGATGATTCCGTTGTCGCCGTTCAACAAGGTGTACTTGATGTGGTTCAAAGTGGAGTACAACAAGACGCCCGAGTCGTCCCAGGCAGCACTCTTGACGCGGATGGTCTCGTGCATGGAGGTGACCAAGGCCAAGTCCTTGGTGGCAATGGTGATGGTGTGCTTGGCCAACAAAGCCAAGTGCAGCCCGTCGGGCGACCACGACACGTACTTGACGTTGTTGACGCTCAACTCGCCCAACTCCTTCCGTTGCTGGACGTCGTAGTTGACCACGGAGTGGGCCTTCACCAACAACACGCGGCCGGCGCCGCCGTACAACACGTCGACGACGGAGGCGTCCAACTGGATGGTCTTGGTGACGTTGTTGGCCATGTCCTTGACGTACAAGACCTTGGAGGCCTTGACGAAGGTGACGAACCTGTTGCGCGAGATGAAGCACGCGAAACAGCCCTCGCCCAGGCGCACGTCGGTGGGCTCGATGGCGCCGGTCACGTGCTTGGGCAAGGACACCAAGGCGTACATGGCGTTGTCGCCCTCGCCGTGGGTCACCAACAACGAGTTGTCGGACTGGTTGTAGGACACGGTTCTCATCAAGGCCCAGGTCTTGCCGATCTTCTTCAAGGACAACATGGGCAACGAGGCCTCGTCCTTGTGGTAGTCGAAGGTCTGCACCTGCTTCTCGCTGTTGACGAAGTACAAGGTGTTCAGGAACACGGTGTGCGCGGGCCGCTCGCGCTCCAACTTGAACACCATGATGCCGCTGTCGTGGCACGTGGCGAACAAGTTGATGGTCGGGTGCGAGGCCACCAACCAGAAGCGGTCGTTCTCGCGGCGGAACTGCTTGACCGCGGTGCGCTTGTTCAAGTCCCACACGCGGATGGTCTTGTCGTCGGAGACCGAGAGAATCAAGTCCTGGTGCGGGTGGAACACTGCGGAAAGCACGTTGCCGGTGTGGCCGCGGCACGTGTCCACCTCCCAGGCCTTGGTGTCGTTCATGCGCCACATCTTGACCAAGCGGTCGTCGCCCGCGGACACGATGAGCGGCAAGGACGGGTGGAACGCCGCGGAGTTGACGCCCTTGTCGTGGCCCTCCAACACGAACTTGACCACGGCGTTGACGTTGCCGAAGATGTCCTGCTGCGGCACGGGCTTGCGCAGCATCTGGTCCTCGAACGGGTGCGCGGCGGCCGCGGGCGCCAGATGCTTTTTGCGCAAGCCAAAGATGTCCCACACGCGCACGGTCTGGTCCAAGGACGCGGACACTATCAAGTCGTCGCACGGGTGGAACTGCGCCAGCGTCACGTAGTGGTTGTGGCCCGTCAAGCACGCGATTTCCTGGCGGTTCTGCCAGTTCCAGATGCGGATGGTCTGGTCGTCCGAGCACGACAACACCCACGGCAACTCGTGGTGGAAGGACACGCCCCGCAAGTAGTCCAAGTGGCCGCTCAACGTGAAGAGACACTTGCGCGCCGTGAGCGACCACACCTTGATGGTGTAGTCGTCCGAGCCGGACACAAAGAGCGGCTGTGTGGGGTGGAAGCTGACGCTGCGGACGGGGCCCTCGTGGTCCTCGAAGCGGTGGATCAACGTGCCCATACGGTAGTCCCAGAGCTGGATCGTGGACAGGTGCAAGGCCACGAGCACCCACGGGCGCTTCGGGTGGAACGCCACGCCTTTGGCCCGCGACAGCTTGGACTCGAACTTGGTGAGCATCTTCATCTTGGCCGGTGGGGGGAAGACGAGTATGGGGCCAAGGGAGCTTTGGGGGAGAACGGGTGTTTTTTCGAGAGGGCCACCGAGGCCTCTGGTGCGCACCCGTGCACCGCGCGCCGGGCGCCAGCGAGACAGGCCCTGGCCCTGGGTGCGGCTTTGGCGGGGGGAATGGGCCTGGGGCCGGCCGCGTTTGGCTGGTGTTGCTTGGGTCTCTGGTATACTTTTGGACGATCGTGTTGGCGGCCGGGCGGGCCAGAGATTTTTTCGTCTGGCGTGTCTCATTCGTTCTTTTTTTGTTTTTGTTTTTGTTTTTTTTTTTGTTTTTTTCTCTTGTCTCGCTTGCTCTTTTCGTCCTGTTGTGTTCCCTGCTGTCCTCTTTTCTCTCTCTAGTCTGTTGCGTGTTCTCTGCTTGTCTCTTTTCTTTCTTTGGTCTGTTGTTGCGTACTTGCTGTGATCCGCGGATGTTGCTGCTTTCTTGTTTGTTTCTTCGTATATTCTCGTCTCTATTTTTTTCATTTGTTCTCGGAACTGGTTTGTTTGGGGTAGTGGCACTATTCCCTTGGTCCCTTGCCTATTCCTCTGCTCGTATTTGGTGTGCCCTTTGCTTGTTTCTTGGTGTGCCCTCTGCGGCCCTGCCATGCGGGCCGTCCAACAAGCACCAGGCCACTGGGCAGTCAACCATGGAATAAAAAACAAGACACAAGCCGACCCCCCAAATCTGTGCTGCTGCAGACATGCCCTTGCGGCCCGTACTCCGAAATCCACCCAATAAAAAGTTCCGAGAAGCACGTGGCTCAAGATTTTGGCACATTTCGCCAAACGTACAAGGTGCTCCATACTAACGTTGTAAAACACTGCCCACAACAAAAACTGGGCAGTTTTGCGTATTCTTGCACGCATTTTGAATTGCTGCTTTATGAAGTCAAATCATTGATTAGTTTATTACACTTGCTTAAAGGTGCAGGCCTTCGTGGGAATGTGCGTCGCAACTTCAGTACGCCGCAGCCTCTTTTATGCATATGCCTTCCATGCACTGTGCTTATATTCAACTTCATGAAACTAACATCCTGTTTTACTGGCCTCTGATATGAGTCAGCGCCCCTGCTATGATCGTCCCGAGGTACTCGCCGGAGCTTTGCGGTTCCACGTCCATGTCTCGAACACTTATTCCTAGCATCAATCCCTTGCCTGATTCCAAAAAATGGGGAGTTGAACACATTGTGTTTATGTCGAAGGCCTTTTGGGCCCCTGACCTGATTTGTTCATAAACAATTGTACGGCAGCAAAGACTACTTTCTCGCCGAGTCACGCCCCAAAATGAACACCTGACTCTCATCGGTTTACACATATTGCATTGCTCATGATGATTGTAAGCTTTTGAACAATGTCGAAAAGACACGGGTGGCTCTTGTGTCTCTTTCCTTGCGGGTCGGATCTACTAAGTATAACTATGTTCAGTACTAGAAATTGTCCTTGTTACGCCTCTCCGTAGTATACTCAACGCACGCGCGTCTGATCTGCCCGGATCTCTGAATGTGCCAGGCAGTGTCCCCGAAATCTCCTTAACACAAAGCAATCTCAAAAAGATATGCACTCATCTATTTTAGCGCGCGGCTCAAAGGCCTTCAGCGGCAATTAACACTGGGAAGATTCCAGTGAGTCCTTGTCTGGCTAAAAAGCATACTAGGTCTAGAGGCTCGCGTATGGAAAGGTGCAGTACGGCACTATACGTGGATCAGTTCTCAATGCGTATATTAATCTTCTCACGACACTCTAGAAGCCGGTGAAAAAGACGCTGCCGGCAACAGCGCAGGCAGCAACCACCGCACTCAAAATCCCGTAGTGGTTGCGGGACTCGGCACCCGAAGTCGACGCCGAGTCTGCAGACAGAGACGACGTGGCCTTGGTGTTCTGAACAAAGCCGCCAGTGTTTTCCGACGTGCTTGTACTGGTGGTCGTGCCCGTATCTTGTGCTGGGTCTTGCGCGCTGGTCGACTTCGTCTTCACAGACGTGGAGGTGTACGTTGTCGATCCGGACAGCACAAGGAGAGTAGATGTTTCAGTCAGGTCCTCCTCGTCGTCGTTATCTGGGTCGATGCCGGTGGCGTCCGAAGACCCCAACCACGTCTTGGCATTTGTCAAGTAGATGTCAGTCTCGTCGCCGTCAGTCGAGTTGTACAAGAAAGCATGGTAGTCCGTATAGTTCACGGAGCTCTGGTCCAAGAATGAGGGCAAGTCGTACGTGGTCACAGACACGTTCTTTACCGACGCGTAGTAGTATCCAATATCTTTAATGTCATCGGAGTCCCAGTCAATTTCACCACCAGCCCACTCGATGGTACCCAAAGCGTTAAGCGAGGATCCACCAGGCCACAAGGAAAACTGGATCCTCGAGGGCGTGGATGGGAAGTCATATCTGTCTGTGGTGGAGTTCCACGTCAACTCCTTCTCCAAGGTACGCACCTCGACTCCGTCGACCGACCAGGTGATCTTTTCCTCCTGCCAGTCGATCTCGTAGTAATGCCAGTTTTCGAACGTGTCAGTGACCTCGAAATCACCCGTGTTCGAGTAGTTCAAAATCCCCTTGGAGTAATAGTTATTCTGAGGGAAGGTCAAGTTGTAGCCGAGGAACTCGTAATCGATTTCATCTTGTACATCCGAAAAAGTAATGAACGCTGTAATGACACCGTTGTCGTGGGAGCTCTTCATGGTGGCACCCACCTTTCCAAACCAGAGGTACTTTGTCGAGGACACGACCGTTCCAGTGGAACCATTGGGCATCTGCATCAAAAGAGCATCGTCGTAGCTTGCGATATATCCAGTGTACACCCAGTCGGTATCAGTGGCATTTCCCAAATAGGAAGTTCCCTTGATCACCACGCTGGTGTCACTGAAATCCTCGGTGAAGGAGGACATTCTAGGTTGGGGCATACAAGCCGTCAAGTTAAACGAGTAACGAGGGTCGCAGCCACCCAAACAGTACGAGCCGGTTCCACAGTATCCATACTGGGAACAACATGGAGAATCCTCAGGACATGAGTCAGTGCTGTTGCATGCAATTTGAGTCCACGTGTCAGCTTTCACGGAGCTGATCATGGAGGCCAATGCCATGAAAATGAAAACGGAGAATGACTTCATTTTACAAGGGGCAAACGAGCGATGCCAGCGTGTTTGATTCAAGCGATAGACGGGTTTCTTGCTGGCCTATTTTTTTCCCTGTTCGCGTGTTGTGAAAGGAACTGTGAGCCGTCGAACTTTCAGTCTCGACTTTCAATCTGCGCCAGAGATTCAAAAATAAAAAAATATATAAATTTTAGTCTGAAGTTAGCCGAACAAGCGAAATTGAAAGGTTTTATGGCGGGTGTGTTCCTGGAGGTCTTTTCAAAAATTTGGGGGCAAGCCATGCAGGTCAACAAATGCTCCGGCATGCGATGCCGTTCTTATTTTAGAGCGGGCGATCTCCCGCTTTCCGTCTCCAACTCACGCAATATGATCGGATTCGTATGCAAGTCTGGCCCCGCCCGAGACGTGTCGCCCTAGATAGTCAATAACGTAAATACATGTATGCAGGCGTGACACCAACACTATACAACAAAAAGATGGGAGACCACTCATGTAGGCTCGAGCCGACTGTGTATGAACATCCCCAGAACCCCGTGGGTCGCAACTTACTCTTTCTCGAATGTCGCCGCAACTCGCGTAGCTCGACTTGCTCTCTGTCTCAAGTGCCACGCTCAACATAACGGTTATTCTTCCCCAGAGATGCGTGAGCGCGATTCTGTCCGCAGTCCGTCGGGCCCTGGGCTGCATGACGAAGATTGCACTCTATATTCATTTCGTGTTTCAAAGAAAAACTAGCCCACCCATTCACCCACGGTTCTGTGCAAAAAAATCATACATGTTAGGCAGATAGGTGGAGGGCTGGTCATATATCAACTCGCTGCTGCTTCTGGGATTACGGGGCCCGGGATTGAAATCGGACGAAGGCTTAGCCTTTTGCGCGTTCGTGTCGGGGCTGTGGGACACTGCGGCATTAGACAAACCATATTGCCCAGTAAATGAGCTTTGTGATGGTCTCTTTGGAGGCAACTGTGGTGCATTAGGTGTGCCCGAGAGAAACGCCGTCGGATACTCATTCAGACGCTCTCCGTTCTTTGGTTCCATCGCAGTCCATTGTGCTTGCTGTCTCCGGGCCGCTCCTGAGTTAACATGCGTACTCCAGCCTTGTTGCTGACCCATGCCTTGCCCAGGCGCCGCGAAAAAGCGCGGTGTGGCTTGAGATGTTTGAGAGCCAAACGACCCTCCTGTAACATTTTCACCCAAGCTAAGCGACCCCATCGATTGGGTAAACAGCCCCGTTTGCAATTGTTTCTCAAGAGTATTGCAGAGACTTCTAGCGTATTCGAGAAGCTGATGGTAAAACCCAACACCTCTCTGCAAGCCCGCCGTGTATTTTCTCCAATTGTTCTCGTAAAACCAATCAATTTTGCTCTTCTGTTCATTAAGAAGACCAGTCCGGAATGTTGAAGACGCCTGAATATTCTTCACCTTAGGACTCGAGATTAGGTCTTCCCATTGTTTCTTCACGTCTTCCATTAAAGACTTTTGCTGGTCAAGCAAGCTGTTCAAGCTGTTCAGAAATACTTCAAACTTCTTCAACTCCTCCGGAAAAATGATTGACTTGATCTCCTCGGTAGACTTGACCCTGCTGTTAATGAGAAGAATGTCAGAAATGTCGTCATTGTGAATTTCCTTCTTTAACTCGGAAATGAGTTTGGCCTTCTTAGCTTTCACGATGTTGAGTTCATTGAGTAAATCCTCAAGCCAATTGATCTTGTCCTCGATTCTGACAGACAATTTTTTAAGCTGACTGTCGTCAACATCCAACAAGCTTATTTCTGGTTCCTGGCTGTTTGTTTCATCCACCTTGTTGAAATCTGGAATCAGGAAAAGACTCTTGAATTCCGTCGAGGATACACCTTTTCCAAGGGTGTGATAAAAAGAACTGTTTTCGTCGTCGATTAAAGAAAAGAGCCTAGTGTCGGAGTTTGCGGCCTCATAAAGGGATTTTTTTAATTTGATGAGATCATCTCTAAATTGGCCCTCAGAAGCACTCGATGGAGCCGAGTTCAAAAGAGCTTCGCCTTTGTTAACACAATCCATAATTTCTCTTCTGTACTGAACTATCGTGCTTCTGTTAGTTGTGTCTTGGGAGTAATTGCTCGAGATCTCCAGGACTTTACCAAGCGTGTCTGGGTCCAAGTATGAATTGCAAGATCCATATTCTAGAGGCTTCTCTGCACATGTGATCTCCTTGATACTAACAAGTGCTTGAGGCAAGTTCAAATATTCTAAAGCCGAAGACAATTCTTCATTGGATACATCCACCGCGTCAAGCTCGTTTCTAAGAAACTGTGATTTCTCTTCCGAATAGAAACTAAGAAGCTCGTGAATAGTGATTGGAACAACGTTGTTCAAAAATGTGTTGTAGTTGTTTTCGTTGATCTTCATGAAGGCTTCGATCTTGCTCATTTGCAAAACCTTGACGCTGTTCATGGCTTTGGGCTCGGCAAGCGTCACAAGAGATGGAACAATATCGTGATATATGAGATCGTTGTCTTTTGTAAGGTCGGCCAATTTGATTCTCAATGCATCTTTATGGTACTCGATGTTGTCCAAAAAGTCATAAACATTATGGCCCTTAGACTTGCCAACAGACTCCAAAAGTCCAGATGTAATCTGGCCAAGAACTTCGGAGGATTTGGTCAAACAGGCAATCGACTCACCAAACTTCTTTGTGGCTTCCAATTGTAAACCTTGGAAATAATATGCTGAGGATTTGTAGTATAGGTGTTTGGCACGAAAAATTGCGACCCAAGAAGCGTTTAGGTGCGCAGGAACCTTGGTACTGTTTGCTTCACTAGACTCCGGGTCATAATCCGCAAGCAGCTCGTCGTCCTGGTTTTCCAAATCTAGAACCTCATCATCAAGCCCGGTTTCCTTGATTGTGAAACCCCCGTAGTCGCCCAGCACTGAATACTCGTCTTCATGCATCAAATGAGCCGTGCTACGGTGGCAATCCTCATAGTACTTAGCTGCTGATGCACAGAGCTTGGCAATCAACGAATTTTTCTTTTGCTCAAGATCACCATCTATGACTTTTAACGTGAATATTTCCTGGCTTTGAGCCAAGCACAATCCCTCCAAAAACTTAATTGTGACTGGCTTCAAGTCACTCAGAGGACCGTGGAGGAAACTCTCCGATATGTACTGAAACACACCTGCAGCCTGTTGCATTGACTGTATGGCATCTTTGAATTCTTTCTCGCCCAGGTCTGCGGAAGTGCTTTTGAATGCGTCACTATATTTCAGTCCTGCGGCCTTCATCAACAGCGAGCCGAGATTGAAAAGCACAGACGCCTTCTCAAAAGGTAATGCTGTCTGTGTACTCTCTGCACTTGGCGAGAAAGCATCTGACCAAGTAAATTTGATCTGCTTCCGCTTTAATAGCGCCAGCATCTTTATACGTAAGTCCAAGAGCTCCAATTGGCTATAATAAGTGAGACAGTTTTCGACACTAGAACCAAGTTCTGTTGCCTCAATAGCCTGGACAGCTTTTCTCAGCTCATTGAGTTTTTTCAAATCTCCTTGAAACTCACTGGTGTTCCCGTACACAGATAGTAGATAGTTGTTCAATGGCTTTGACCAATTGGTCTCCTCTGTGGTCTTGATAGGTGCACTCAAAAGTAAGGCTTTCATTTTGACGACAGTTCTCTAGAGTGAAAAATACTAGTGGACTTTCTGATACTTTGAGTGAAATTCACAGTGACTTTTTAGTTTGTACAACAAACGATGTCTGTTCCTCAGTTCTATTCGCTGTTATCTTCCTTGTTGTGTTCCTCGCTATGGTCAGCAATCTCGGTGAACGTCCTTGCACATAACTGACTAAAACGGGTGTCTTGCATAGGATGGCTAGGTCATATCAGTTTGTTAACCAAACAAATAGCCAGGACGGGCTATTTCATGACGTATCAAGAGTTTGTGAGATACGAATCTCCAAATCAACAAGACGATTCGGGCTTTTATTGCAAGATATATGGGCCGAAATCCCACCCTGTGTCTCATTCAGATCATGATTGTTATCAAGCGACTGTCAGAATGATTGACCGATGAGAATCCAAATCAAAACGGCTTTCAAATTAAATTATATAAGTATAGAATGTAACTGTGAGAGCCCAAACCCCGGATGAAAATGAAAATAAACATCGAAAAGAAAAAACATAAAGTATACCGCTATTTGGCTCGTTCTCGCTCACGGTCTCTTGGCAGCTTTCCTGCATCGATTTACAACTCCATCTTATCTACTACATGCGTCGGGAGCTCAAAGATTACCAGATCGCTGCTGATATATCAAACAATATCAAGAATTTGATTCCTATAGGTACTCTTCTTTACTATGATGTGCCAACTGCAGAATATGCATTTCAGGGGGTTCCTTTGGATCGGTCTTCGTGGTGCACATTCGATGCGGAGTTTCTTCATGGTGAATTTGGCATGAAACTTCACCGGTCACTACAGGCATTGGTGTTCTTGGTCAGGCACCGATTTTTTTCAGCTACATACAAAGTTTTTGAGCACATGGCAAATCTTTTCGGGGCACCATGTAAAATAACAGTCTGGAAAGTTCGAGTATACGCTGTGCCTCTGGATATAGATGGATCCAGGTACATGAGGCTGTGGAGACGTAGCTGGCTGAATAACTTCTCAACCTTGCAAAAAAAAAATAAAGAACATTGGCAAACTTTGCTTCTATATTTGGACTTTTCTTCCAAGGCATGGTCCCATATAATTGTGCCCAGTTCTGCCACGGATAAAATAGAGCTGACTATTTGCATTCCCTTCTTTCGACAGTCAAAGACTCGATATTAAGGAGCAATTCACACATGCACCATCACATGAATAGATGGGCCAGACAAATGAGTTTTACGCCAGGCTTCCAATCACATGAGTCCTTGGAAAGCATTGTACGGTCTGCTTATACTCAAATACAGACTCCCGATCTTTCTCTCTATTCCCAGATACCGCTTCACAAAGTTTCTGGATTGCCTTCTGCTGAAGAAACAATCTGTTTATTGTGTCAAAAAAGCAAATCAAACACTGGGGATGTTCCAGGGCTATCCTCAACTCTATACTCGTTTCAGCTTCGCTCTGTGTGTAAAATGTACGAGAAAGAATCCATGACTCTGCGGCAATGTGTGCCACATTTTGTCGAATTCACATCTCCTACTGGCTCACGTTATTTCTTTAATACATTGGAAAACACTTTCAACTCAAATCCCGAGCTATATGTTGTACCAAAGGGTGGCATCTTAGCTGAAAATATGGGTTTGGGAAAGACCTTAATCTGCCTCGCCCTCATATGTTTGTCCAAACATGAAATCTCTAGTATTCCTCATGACATTATCCTTGAAGAACCTCCTAAAGGCACAGATATTGGATCTTTTAAAATGAAACCTTTGAAAACTTTGGCTGAGATCGCGTTATCATCAATTGCACAAAACTCTTTACCTTGGAAGTATTTTGCCCAAGACCTACCTTCCGCCATCGTTCAAAAACTAAAAAAACTGCCGGGGGTTTTTTTTGTCTCACGGGAACCAGTTCAAAGCAATTTAGGTCTTCGTGTCAGAAATGCAACTGCTCTCAAACCTTCTATATTGAAGCTTGTTTTGACAAGTTCTACTTTAGTGATTGTGCCCGAAAATCTTTTGCATCAGTGGAATGACGAGACAAAAAAGCATGTCCGTGTCGAATTTTTGCGTAAACTTTTTATATCAGATAGATTCAAAAATCTGATGCACTATGAAAATGGCGACTACATGAGAGACCCACCCCAAGATCCCATTCTACTCGTTTCTTATGATGTCGTCGTCATCTCAGCGCCTCTTTTTTCAAAATTATGTGCTGATCCTAGCACGGTTTTTATGAAAATCTATTGGAAGCGACTTATCATCGATGAGGGTCACTCTATGAGCTCTCGCTCGTCCAATCTAAGTTTAAGTTGTAAGTTGATACATGCTGAACGACGTTGGGTTGTCACAGGAACACCCACTTCTGGCCTTACTAATTTACATGTGGATGAGGGTGTGCCAGAAGCTGTTACAGAAAGCCCAAAAAAGAGACGAAAATACACAGTGAAGGGAAAATTCAACGTTCGTGAAGATTTGAACAAGCTCGGAAATTTGGTTTCCAATTACTTCAAAATCGAACCATTCTATTCTCAGCCCAGCCTCTGGGGCTCCTCTATCACCAAAAATCTTACAAATTCAAATCAGTTTACAGCAAAGATCAGTTTGCAAACGTTATTGAACTCGCTCATGGTTCGTCATACCCAGTTGCAAGTGGAAGCTGATTTGGTCCTTCCACAACTACACCACGAAGCTGTATCCTTGAAACCTTCTTACCAAAACAAATTGGCTATCAATCTTTTCACATCTGTTCTTGCTGTAAATGCGGTTTCTTCGGAACGAGTTGGAGGAGACTACATGTTTGACCCCATGAATCGGCAACAACTTCAAAAATTGGTAAGCAACTTACAACTCTCGACATTCTACTGGACCGGCTTTCAAATTCTGGATGTCAAGAGCTTATTGAATGTAGCGAACTCCTGCTTGGAAAAATTGACTCCCAGCGGTGAAGCCTACTACAACCCGGAGGATCGGCGTCTTCTTGTGTCTTCAATTCATGCTGTGAAAGAAGCACTTTGCAATCCCCGGTGGAGGGCCGCCGCTTCGCTTCACGAAATGCAGCTATATGTGACTAATTTGCCAAAACCGTATGTTGATAATTTCGCGATTGGATCTATAAATGACATTGGCGTTTTTGGTGCTCCTCAATTGCACGCAATACAGAAGTTTTTTTACAAAAACCGATTCATATCCTCAAATGATGAATCTGTGCTAGCTTCAAGGTTGAGGGAAAGTTCGAAAGCATTTTGGAAAGACTATTGGGTGCGATCTGAGAAAACGCAAAACAGGAAGTTTTCCAAACCGGAAGCTTTCCTGGAATTCGATGCACCCGAAGAAAAGAGAAAAAACGACGTGTTTGAAAAACAAATAATATGTAAGCAATCTGTTTCCACACGCGAAACTGATAGTGTGGCACTGGCTTCACATTCCACATTCAAGAACATCTTGGACAAACCCTACCATTTGAAGGACCAAATCAATCCTAAACGAGCTCGAATCCTTGGAACAGCTTCTTCGAAATTGTCCTACTTAGCCAGCAAATTAACTGGACATCAAAAAGACGGGGTCAAGTCGATAGTATTTTTTGAGTACGAAGATAGCGCCTATTACCTTACTGAACTCTTGGACGTTTTGGGCATCAAATACATATTATACGCTACATTTGTCGAAGTGGAAAAAAGACCAAACAACTTGAATGATTTTGCTTCGCACAGCACTGAGACACAAGGAGGAATTACTTTGATTATGGATTTGAAGTTGGCCTCACATAGCTTGACTGTGATCGCAGCAACCAGGGTATACTTCATGAACCCTGTGTGGCAGAGATCTGTTGAAGCTCAAGCCATCAAAAGAGCACACCGGATCGGACAAACAAAAGAGGTCTTCGTGGAAACTTTGGTTTTGCGTGGCACGCTTGAAGAGGAGATATACCGACGAAGGATAGATGATGGTTATGACTTAGAAGCCAGAGATGTCAAAGGAGGTGAAACTTTTGAAAAGAAATACGTCATTGATGATACTGGTATGCAAAACTTCGTATTGAGGCACGAATTTCTTTCCGTCGATAAAGAGGTGCAGGAGCATGCAGACTTTTCCGAAACTGTGGTTGGTGAAGATTTGGCTGATAACAGTCAAGACAAATCCATTCTGAATGCTTCAAATGCTCCACAATTTTCACTTCCGTCACACTCTTCAGATCTATTAGCTGCAGAAGGACGAATACATCGTGCTTGGAACATGCGTTTGTTCAGCGCAGACAACTTGCAAAAGTTCAACGAATCTAGGCAAAGCAAGCCTAACTTGGAGCAGCTCAACGTGGAGTTTGTTGAAGGCAAACATCAGCCGACGGACGTGCACATAAATGCTGGTTCATCAAGAAAGCGTGTCAGGTTCTAGAACTCACGAACAATGATATCGCCATCCAAGGCACAGCTGGCCAAGATTTTTTCCCGAGGATGGAAGTCTATGTCAACTACCGCCGCCTCGTGGCCTGTTAATTTTGCCGCCATTCTTTGTGATGCTGTGCCCCACATCGTCGCCAGATGGTCATCAGAGGCCAGGCAAATGTATATATCATCATGAGAGAATTTTGCCCGAGATACGAGCATCTGCGCTCCGCCAACAGCCCCTTCATATGTTTGACCTTTCCTAGAAACGCCTGCAGGTACAAACGACTTGGCGTTGATGGTGTATACGGAACCATCCATGGCTCGCAGAACAAGCATCGATTCGTCCGAGCTCAAGGCTAGTCCGGTAGTGGTCTCAGTAAACCCATCGCAGCTCCATAACAAGCTTCCTGAACTCACGTCATATGCCCGCACGCTTGGATCGATTCCGGCGACGTATGCGATTTTTCCATCGCTACTCAAATCACACGCTAGTATCGGATACGGCGTCTCAATTTTACTCACCTCATATTTTTCCCGCTCATCCCAGAGTCGAATTGTGCCGTCATCGCCCACACTCAAGTATGGGCCTTCTGAACTGGTGCTGCAATCGTTTACAGTAAGCTCGTGCCCTTTTCCGGTTTTGAGTCTTTGACCCGTTTCTGCATCCCAGACCGATACAGTTGAGTCCGCAGAGGCAGATAGTATTTTGCTTGACAGAATCCAGCTGAGTGAGGTGATCGCTTTCTTGTGCCCCTCAATCACTCCGTAGTTTGGAGCCTCATTGTCAGCAGTAGTGGGAAGATTCCAGAGTCGTATCGTTCGGTCCATGCCTGCAGAAGCAATATTATGGCCATCGGCACTGAACTCTATGGAAAAAACAGCACCCGTGTGACCTGAGAGAACAACTGCCTTTTCAAATAATATGGAACGACTTTCGGCATTTTTGACGGGATTCGTGATCAAGGACATTTATATGTTTTATATTGGGACTATGTGGCCATCGGTGAAGCGATGTAGATATGTGGTGTATGGGTCTTTTCAGAAGCATATTGGAGATGTAATAAATGCTACAACGAGAGTAGAATTCGAAGATAAATGTAGGCTGTTAGTCGCTCCAAAAATTTCAAGATGTTTTTCCTTAGACTTCATGCTAAATACTCGAATGTGTCACCCTCACGGCGTGCTATATACTCCTTGTCAAGCAAGTATTCGATCGCTCTCTTGAGGTCTATGAGCTTAGCCTTAAATCTGGAGTGAGCTTGGACTAGAACCTCGTTCACCAAGTCGTTATGTTTCATGGTCTTTCTCGCCTTCATTATCCGAACAATGCTAGCTGTGAGGTAATTCTTTCTCGACTCGTCAATCTCGCGGCTCGTCTCGTCTTCTTCCTGTTTCTGTTCAGTTCTGATGGTGCTTACAAAGTTCACCTTCAATTTCTTGGACTTGTACTCGCCAACAATAGTGAAGGTCGTTTGTGGCTCGCTCATCTGTTGCGGAGCAGCTGGGGTCTGCTCCAACAATTTAAACTTCACAAACGGAGAAAGATGTGCATCGAGAACGTTTTGCGCGACGCCCACAGTTTCTTTGAGTGACAGATATGTGTGGGTTGTTTCGTCGTTGAATGCGAGGAGAATCATCAATTGCACATTTGAAACAGTGAAAATAAACGGTGGCTTACCCTTTCTTGCGAGGTTTGCTTTCACCTCGGTCTTGCCGTGGTTCCAGAGCCACTGCAAGTTCCTCCCATTGTGTTTCTTGCTGTATTCTTCTTCCACAACATCAAGTGTACGTTGTAAAGCAGGTGCTATCCTGAGACTGTAATCTTCATTGTGCAGAAAAGGCCACATACTCTGGGCTAAAATCAAAGGGCTGAAGTCACCCACTGATGTTTCAAAGCCAATAATTTCACGCACTCTCGTTTTCAAATCTTCTGAAGACTTCATATCCTGAAACATTTTCGTGATCTTTGAGGTGAACTCCAAAGAGTTTCCTTCCTGCAATTTTTGCAAGATACCTTCCTCTAACTCATCTGATTTCGTGTTACTGTTGATCAATCTCTTGGCTAACAAGCGCCGGTAGTGGTTCTCGAATACATCCTTATCCTCGATGTACTTCAAAACAAGCACCAAGTTATCTGCTGTCATGTTCTCGACATCTGCTTCTTTTCCAGTGGCTTTCAAAAATCCATCAGCATATCTTGCCAACAACTCTGGACTCTTACTTGAGGCCTTTGGATTTGGTTTGGCAACCACATTAACATTGACAAAGTAGCGGCACGCGCTATCAAGCGCCTTGATGAACAATGGGTCCTTTTTGAAAGAGTTAAATACTACCTCGTTGAATTTCTCGTAGATCCTTATCAAGGTATGGACATAAACTTTCGGGCTTACAGCCGATTGCGCAGGTCTCTTCAGAGGTCGATCGGCGGCAGCCTGTGCCTCTTGAGCCTCGGTGGAAGCCTTCAAATCTATGATGATCTGAGCAGCCTCGGTCTTTATGAAGGTCTCCAACTCATCGGATAACGCCTGTAACGTGCTGGGCACTTTGGCCAACAACTTATACATGCGCAGAATGTGTTCGACCTCGTTCCGCTCCAACAATTTGATGAACTGATCGTACATTTCTTGTGCGTGGTTCTTGATCAAAACAATGTGCATGGTTTCTAGCAACGAGCGCTTGCTGCGGTCCTCCAAGTAGTTGTTGGACCGCGAGATTTCCTCCGCCAAGCGATTCTCGCACTTAATCATATAGTCGACCACACTATTGTGGGACAAGAAGGTTTCACTCTCCTGGCGGTAATATTCCACGGTCTTTTCGATGAAGAAAGTCTCAAAACACGTGGCATAAACCACCATGTTTGGTTTCTTCAAGTCGTTGACGTCGATACCCAAAAACACCATCGACTTCACCGCGACAGAGATGATGTTTGTGTCGACAATCTCGTTGTTTCTTTGGCGCTCGATCAATTCGAAGATCTCATCACGAATTCGGCTGACGTTTGGGTCGAACATGTGGTGTTTCCATTGGAGCAACGCCAACGTGTTGACATCGAAAACATCCCGGCGCCCGTCAGAACGCTCCTTCTGTACCCAATACCGGTTCATATAGTCGAAAACGTTGTTCATGTACCCGGCGCCAATCGTGAACCGCTTCCATTTGCGGACGTAGAATTCCAAGAACAGCTCGCCGGGCTCCTCGCGCAAGCCTTTGATGAAGTTGATCAAGTATTCCTCCAATTTATAGTAGATTTCTGCCCCGGTTAGCGAGTAGGTGGACTTTTCTGTGATTCCACGGGAAGAAAGACCCATCGCTCCTGCCGAGGGATTGCTGCTCCTAGATTTGTTCGTGCAATAGTTGTACACTGCAGTGTAACAGTTCATGTACATTTTGGACGTGACGCCCTGGTCGCCCTGGGCACCCAAAATAAACTCCAAGCCAGGCTCGATGAAATTCCAGGTGGCCTCTAGGTCCCCGGCGATTGGAAGCGTTTGTGGCGTCGACATTGCTCAGATTGGAACGGCTTGTTTTGTGGCGGCTGACGTAATCTTGTTTGCAGACAGCACGGAATTATCTATGTAGAGATGGATACTTGTCTGCCTCGGCGCGGCAAAATGAGATCAGACGGCTATTCGTTCGCAGTGGCTCAATGTAGTCAGGGATCCTAAATGGAAAGACTTATGCAAACACGCGGTCGGTTTTCTCGTCGAGTTTCGGGCTCGAATTCGAAAGCTGGAGTCTGAACAAAAGACTGCGATTGGATTTTGAAGGGGAGAAAAATCGGCTTCTTTATGCAAAGCCAAAATGGGGCACTTGGGGTTTGGCAGCGTTGGGCAGAGTAGTGGCGACTGGCTATAGGGCACGATGCGTTTGCAAGTCGTGTCTGGTATACGCTTTGGTTGGGGAACTCCTCGGTGGTTATAGAGCACCCCCGTGTATGCAGTCCGGCACCAACATTCCGTCTTAGCAGGAGGTATAATAAAAGCTTGACAATGCAAAGTACCGTAATCTAAATAAGGAGAGTGGCTGTAGTTTCTGCGTCCATGTGGCTGCCCTTTTAAGTGAGTAGTGCGCTCGTGGAAAGAGGGTTCTGCCGCAAGATGTCACGAGCCACCCGATGTTGCGAAGCATTCGATGGAATCCGTTCGGCCTCTTTTGACACCACGGCTGGGATCGCTATTGCGGTCAGTTCCCACGCACCAGGCAGGTGTCTCTGCAACTGTCTTGCTGTTTCGGCATCACGCTGTTGGAAGTCTCTCTTCCCGCACATGATTTCGGGGCACTTCGTTACTCCGCACGAGGCCCCACACTGACCCTGTCCACAACGCGGATGATTGAAATCGTGAAGGTCAACACCCACAAGGCTAGAACGAGTAGCAAGAACGAGGCCAAGGCGCGCTGGCGGCGGCACAAGAAGTTGACGGTAGGGTAGAGCCCGCTGTCCGTGGAGCTGTTGTCCGGCTTGCACACCCATTTCTCGTCGTAGAGCGAGTCGAACGTGAGCGACATGTTGGCGGACGAGCACATGATGAAGAGGAGGTCCAACATGATGAGCTTCATCTTGCCCAACGGGTTGCGGAGCCCCAAGGGCTTGCCGCTATACTCGTCGTAGGCAATGTACACGATGTACACGATGGCAAAGCTCTGCACCACTATGGCGAAGATGGTGCTGGGCTGCTGCTCGATGCTGGTGCCCTCGTACTGGCGGTTCAGGTACACGAAGATGGACACGGCAAGCGCCAATGCACATGCGGAGAACATCAAGATGGTGATCCGGAGGAGGAGCGGCAAGAACGGGTTCTGCACGAAGATGCGCCAGAGCGTGGGCATCAAGTCCTTGCGCTTCTCGTCCAGCATCCAGTAGCCGGCCTTGGTGCGGAGGCGGGGGCTGTCGTCCGCCACCAAGGGTTTCTTGCGCGAGAGCATGCGGCGCCACATGGGCACGTGGGCGTCGCTGGTGGACGCGGCGTGGTCGTTGGAGCCGAGCAACGCCGATCGTAGTCTCTCGTCGCCGCCCCACGGGGTCTCCCAGTCCGGGTTTGCTTTGAGCGACTCGTGCTTGGACACCGTGTCCGTGGGCACCTCCGTGGGCTGCTTGACGGCCACCAAGAGATTGGCCCAGTTGTTGTTCAACGACTTGATGAACGGGTCGTGCATGTACGACGCGTACTCCTTGTCGTCGTCCTGCTTGGTGGAGTGGGCCTTGACCGCGGGCGAGATTTCGGCCTGGTCGTTGTTGACGTTGGAGTTTTTCAACTGCTCCTTGTAGTGTGCCAGCGAGAGCTTGTCGAGCACGTAGTTGGGCACGGTCTTTGGGTACAACGAGTACGTCAGAAGCTGCGTCTGTGCAAACGGGTTGGCTGCCTCGAGCCGGCCGTGGGCGTCCACGGTGAGCCCGCCTCGGTTGCGATGTAGCTCGGAATGTAGTTTTTCTTGGTCCACCATGGGGGGCTGGGTCTTTTTTGGTCGGTGGTTTGGGTCGGTGGTTTGGCCCTGTGTTTGGATTCGTGTTGGGGCCTTTGTTTGAATCTGTGTTTGGATCTGTGTTTGGGTTTGTGTTTGGATTTGTGTTTGGATTTGTGGTTTGAATCTGTGGTTTACATCTACGTGCTTGGTTTGTGTGCTTGGTTTGCGTGCTTGGATCTGTGTGGTTCGGCTGTGGAGGTACGTCGTGAGACCGTGCTATGTTCTGGGGCGAGCGGTGCGTGTCCGACAGCTCAGCAAGACCTGCGACTTCGGCTCCAGGCGTCGGGTGGGCAGATCAAAAAAAAAAGGATCGGCCCGGAAATGTATCCATAAAGCCCGCTCCTGGTTCAGCAGGGGCAAGGTGAAGAAATGGGGCAAAATGCAGAGGAATACTGGGTGGTGCTGGCTTCCTGGCGGGCCTAGCAACAGCAATGCTCGCGTAAGGCTGGCGCCGGCTGTTCTGGTGCAGAGTGTTTGGGGCCGTGGGTGCGAAAGTGCAAATTGGCCCTGGACTCCGCCACGGCACCATCGACCAACCAAGGGCGCATCTGATAAGAGAAGCGAGCACGCATTCAGAATCCTCCGATCAGACGATATGTGTGTGTATGCTGAGAAATGTCGCTGAGAGCAGCGGAAGTCCGGCTCGTAATTCTCATGTCCATTGGTGGCGGGGCCTCGCAGCCATGTAGTGATGTATCTGCTAACAAAACACTCCTTAGCAAGAGGTAGGTACCGACTGTCCGTGCCAATAAAAGGACATGCACCTTGTTCTTCGTGGTATTTGGCCTGTTTCCTTTGTTTAGTGTTTGTCTTGTGTTTTGTGTCTTGACGTCCGAAAGGCGTTTTGGAGACGCTGCCCCGAAGCTCTCCATTGATGGGGCGAGACGGCTGTTCGCGCACGGCGGGCGTCCAGAGCCTACTCCAACAAAATCACTATTAAGCACACCAGCGGTAGGCCGACCTTGTGCCTTTTGCCCGACTTTTTCTTCCTTCTTCGTCTCCCCTTGTTCAGACGCCGTCTTGATTTTTCTTCTTGCTTCTACTCTCGTGTGGGCTTGTTTTTTGAAGAGTCAACATACAACTGCTGTGCTAATATATCCTCAAATTGCTGCGCGATGTAGACCAAGCCCTGCGGCGATTACCACGCATATTGCTGCGGGCCGTTTCGAACGAAAGAAGCCAGCAAAAAAAAAAAAAAAAACACAACAAAAAGCCACCAGTCCTCGGGCCGCATCCTCAAACTTCACAACTGCCTCACTCATTGGAGGACCATGGCTCCTGGCGCTGCTCGTCCTTTTTGCTGCGAGCCCTCGCCCCGGTCACGTTATCGCTCGCTTCTCACTGTCTTCACCAAGCCCGCACATGACGAAACCTCGTCGCTTTTTCCTGCAGAAACGTGGCCCATGTACTTTTATACATTTATCAGTTGCTCCTCCAACTGCCCACCGGAATTTCTGAAGCACTCATGTTAGGTCTAAATGTGTGTAGAAATTCACTGAGAGTGGCAAGCAAAGGCCTGCATCTTTTCGTGCCGTCCTCGCTGGCATTTGCCCAGCTTCACACGACCCACGCCTTGTTCTCGAATTCCACCAAGGTAGAAGGCTCAAGCGCAACTTCCGAAGAAAAGAGCGATCTTGAAAAAACACACAGTTTGACCCAGGCAGCGGAAGAAGGGAGGAAATTCAAGGCGCCGCATGAGGCCTCGAAAAAGATCCCCGCCAATTTCGACCTCAACTCCATCTTCTTGCTCAGCATTCCCATCACCACGCACCGCTCGTTTATCTATTGCCATCACAATGCCGGTCTTCTAAACAAAGATCAGCTCAGCCGGGTGTCATGGCTCGTCAAGCTGGAGGAGAAATTGGTCGCTTTGGCTGTAAAGGCTTGGGACAAATTAGTCACTTCAGACTTGACCATCAACAAGAAGATCGTGGCACTTGTGCTGAGGTTGCTCAATTCGGTTCCCTACAATGAAAGTTGTCTACGCTCCTTTCCCAGCGAAGAGGCCATGGTCCGTGAAACAAACGAGCACCAGTCCCACGGCCTTCCTCGGGCATTAATGAAAGCAGAAATTGATGCGAACAACGTCTCGCTTGAGCACCTCAAGCCAATTCCAGTATACCATTCCAAGATCCAAGACCCCGCCGTGCTTCTCAAACAGATGCATCAATTTAAGACGGACTTGGTTGCGCGTCACAGTAAATGGGCGGTGATATGCGCAATTGGCATTCCTATTAGTTTGCCGATTGCGTTGGTCCCGCTAGCGCCCAACGTCCCTGGTTTCTACTTGACTTACAGATTATACTGTCATATTCAGGCATTGAGAGGCGCGAAAAACCTAGGCTTTTTGCTTGAAAGCGAAACTGCAAATAGCGGCGAGACCGAATCGTCCGTGGTGTCATCTACACATTTGACCTTCAAGCACCATCCAGACCTAGACCACTTATTCGCATCTGCCGAGGTCGAAGGCCAAGAACAAGAAAAGTTGCTACTCGATTCGAATACTGTGGATAGGATTGTCGAAACGACTGGGCTTGTGGAAATTAAAGAGGATTTATATCGGGCGTTCAAGCAGGAAAGAGGGCGGTTGGCGAAGGAAAGAAATGCCTGATTCAGTTCGGATGCATTACGTGTATATTAGACAAATTTGGTCCAGGGCAGCGACGGATGTAAAACCTTGCACGGTAACCCTGACAAGATTGTACAAATATGTACAATGGACGCTACTGGACCATCAACCAAATCGATCTCGAAATCAATGGTATAACCCCAAAAGATTGTTAGTATTCTCGTGCTGGCAGCTTGTAATTAGTAGGGTAATACAGCTGTCGCGACAAAATGATAACTAGGGCTAAACACCCTACAATAGTGACGAGGACTCAAGCACAACCCAGCAGTCAAACTAAAATCCGAACAGAGAACAGTCTTAGGTAACCAACATGCTATTTCCCTCTCATACCATAATTTAATAATTCTAGAAGGTATCCGCCTCAGGTCAATACAATTGCCTATGCTTTTCCACTCAGTGCCCTCCAGCCGCCCCGGATCAACTTTTAGGACCAGAGCCCACTCTTTTGCGCGGGAAGTCACGTGCCTTCAAAAAAACAGTCACACCTCACTGATGCTGTTTTCGCCTCCACACGCTAGCGCTCACATATATAGTGCGAGCGCCCGCGCAATTCTCTTCATACTTCTTTTATCCATCACATTTATCTACTATGAGAAATAAGTGGAGAAAGAAGAGAGTTAGAAGACTTAAGAGAAAGAGACGGAAGGTTAGAGCTAGATCCAAGTAATCGGACACTGGATCGCCTTCTAGCTTGAGCTCGTGTTGATGGTTGCTGGTGTCAAATCCAACCAGCTGTCTCAGAGACTCTTAACTGACGTCCGTATATAATAAATACATGCCTTAGGTGTGCAACACTCAAGAATGTAGATCCTTAGGCCAAATTGCTTAGCTTCGGATTGCGTAAGATGAATATCTTTACATGGCTTGAAACTGGATGGTCGAGCCAAGTGCTCTTGCTGTGCAACACCCGAAACTTCGGAGAATGCAGCCGATTCTTGTCCTTCCAATCACCACAACAGTGCGTTTCCTGTCAATTCGTGACGTGGAGTTTCTAGGTGGTCAGAACTTTGGGGCTCCGACCCCTCTACCTGGCTCTGGCGGTCTTGGAATGACCTGTTTTTTCGTTCAGTCACGTGACTGGCTTCCTCGCACCGCGCCGCTGGGTGAACGCTGCTTCTCGGGTTTGGGTGCAAAACCCTCCTATCAAAAGCGACATGGACGTCGAACACGTAGAATACGCTCAAAAATCGGACTCGGTGGGCTTTTCAGATAGCCCACTAACAAAGACTATTTCCGGGGGTCTCTCGGGACCAGGGGTGAACTCCGAGTCTCTCGCAGAACATGCCTCCACCACTGTTGCAATAGATTTGGACCCCCAAACTCTACCCGTTAAAACCAAAGGTAAACTGGCAGATGCTACCGATAATGAGTGGAAAGTTCATGTGGAGCCTTTTCATTCATTGCGAGAGATTCCAAACAAAAAATATCGCGAGGGCTTTGTCACTGACGAATCTGTCCAGCTAGGTCTAGTCGGTCGAAATGCCCGAGACATAGTAAGCCAAAGCACGAACACCAATTCCAATACTGTCCCCGTTGGACTCATCCGCGGATTTTTCACACTTCCTATGAACACCTTATCGAGCATTACTGCAATTAAATGCAACCCATATAGAAATTGTACTGCGTCGTCAGTCCCCACCCATGGTCTGGAAGTCCCAAGAGGAATCCATGCGGCTAGCCAAGACCAAAAACCCGAGCTGGCATCGCCAGGGCTGATTGCCCATGTTGATTCGCCAAACCCATGTCAAGGACTATCCTGTGGACCACACTTGCCGCCTCGTCCAGCAGAAACCTACCGTCCGCAAAGAAAGATCACCCCGGCACTTTTTCATGACCAGTTCACTCAATTCATGGAGGACCGCATGGCTATGTTTCAGCCATCTTCCTCGCAAAACAACGTAGAGCAATCGCTAAGCTCGAACCATCCTTACCAGCAGGTAGACGAAGTGGAATCAATGCACTTGAGAAATTGGTTTACTGCAAACTCACACCGCAATTCAGCTCAACAAATGTCTCCCCGAAATGAGCCTACAGCTGTTTCTGTCAATTCTCCCGGCTCGGCTATCCCGATCAATAACAGTACAAGCTCTTTCTTGCCTAGAGGGGTGCAGGGTCCATGCTCGTTAGATCCGCCAAACTCAGCCATGGTATATACCCCGAGAGCAGTCCCGTTGGCAGATGTAAAAGACCCTCCTCTCTCGCCTATTCCATCCCAATGCATGTGTCTGTGGTGGCCGTTTTGAAATCGCTGAAATAAAAAAAGACTAAAATAGTAGTTGCTACAAATGCTTCCCAGAAGCTCGTGAAACGTAGTATGTTTGGAATTAAAATCTAGTAACTTTCTCTTTTTAGTCCTGTCTTTTCTTGCTATAGCCTCCGCTTACTCGGTGGCCTCAGCAAAACGTTCGGTAATCTTGCTCAACAAGTCCTTGAAACCCTTACGGCCAGCATCTTCACCTTCCAGTGGCTCGACGAACTTGGCACTCGAAACAGCATGCTTGACATCGCTGGTAGCCTCAGCCAATTTGGACCAGATAGCACCATTGGAGATAGCTTTTTGGGCCTCGTCATGGTATGCGACGAAAGCGCGCATCATGTCGTAAGTCTTCCAAATTGGACAGAACTGATCGTAAGTAGAGTAACCGTTCTGTTGCAAGAAGTCCTCCTTGATCAAGGTGGCAACATCCAACACAATCTTGTCGGAGTCAGACAAAGCAGACTTACCCACCAATTGCACGACTTGCTCCAATTCTTCAGCATTAGTCAAGATCTCCTTGATCTTTGTTCTCAAAGAAGCAAAGTTGGAGTAGTTCTTGTCGTAATAACTGGCCAAGACGTTGGTATACTTGGAGTAAGAAATTGCCGTATTCACGGACGGGAAATGCTTACGTTGTGCCAATTTCTTGTCCAACCCCCAGAAAACCTGAGTGATACCCAAAGTAGACGTGGTCACAGGGTCGGAAAAGTCACCACCGGCTGGGGACACAGCGGCAACGATAGAAACGGAACCCACTCTGTCAGGAGATCCCAATGCGACAGCTTTGCCAGCACGTTCGTAGAAAGAAGCCAATTTAGCACCCAAATATGCGGGGAAACCTTGATCAGCCGGCATCTCACCCAAACGACCGGAAATTTCTCTTAAAGCTTATGCCCAACGGGACGAAGAATCAGCAATCATGGAGACGTGTTTACCCTGGTCACGGAAGTACTCGGCGATGGTGATACCTGTATAGATAGATGCCTCTCTAGCAGCGACGGGCATATTAGAAGTGTTAGCAACCAAAGTGGTACGCTTCATAATAGGCTCTTTACGACCAGAAATTTCGGTGTAAAGTTCTGGGAATTCCATCAAAACCTCAGACATTTCGTTACCACGCTCACCACAGTTGTGTACAAGAGCACAATTTGCCAACAAGAATTGGTGGTCAGATCCCTCCTCAAGAGTGATACCGTAGTAATCATCGACTGAAGTCTTCTTGATGTCAAATGAGAAAGCTTCAGGCAAACGCTCCGTTTTAGAAGACACTGGTGCTTTTTTGGAGAAAGATGCACATTTCGAGAGAACACCTGTCAAAGCATTACCGCTCAAGGATACAGCGAAAGACATGGCAGTGTCTTCTTTGACCGATGCGCGAATACCAAGAGAGCGCGAAGCCTTAACAAGACCATCACGAACCTTCAAATTAGATGTCCTAATAGTTGCAGTAAAAGCGTCAGTTTCCTTGTTATGAGCCACGCGGCCTTCCGAATCAACAAGACCGGCAATAAAGTACTCACGAACTGAGATCGACTCGCTTGCCAAACTATTTGGGACAGACTTGACGGTATCCGCGACCTTGAAAGCTGCGATCATCTTCCAAAAAATGTTCTCATCCTCCAATGTTTGACGAACACCCTTGCCACGCATATTCCCATTGCAAATAACAACCAGAAGTTCGCTGGCCTCGTTCTCATCGTTTGCGCGAGGAGTAGCAGCTGGGCTACCTGGCGACAATGGAAGAGAGAAGTACCCAGAGTCAGTTTCATTAACCACGATATTCTCGCGCCCAGCTGGGGACAATGGTGCATCTAAACGAGCCCTCTTATGGTTCTTAGAACATTCGACGGATAATCCAAGCTTCTCGCTGAATGCCTCCAAACGGTCAATGAGACCAGAATCAGCTGAATCAACTGAGATACACGAGGCATCAGAACGACCACTGCCTGTCCAAACACCAAGCAAGTAAGACATCTCATTGACTGCATCGACATCACCGCCATATTTTTCAATAAGTGGAGCGAGAGTAGGCTTCTCGACAAGAACTGGGTTGATAAGCTGGTAGGTTGACTCACGGGCGGATCCTGTCAACAAACTCACGTCTCTAGCCTCAATTGTCCAGTGCAAGTCCTCCTTGGACAAGGATTGGACAAATCTTTGCGCATCAGAGTTGTCTTGGTAAACCCGGGTAGCTTGTTGAGCCATCTTAATTGAACGTCCATCGTCGGTCTTGGTAGCAGCGAGCGCAAAGTAAGACACGGAAACACTCTTGTCGGCGTCTTCAGTGGTCAGGATCTTCTGGGAAGTGACAACAACAAGCTCGTGGTTCGAGTTACAGGTGTACTTGATTTTACCATGCGCAGACTCAGTGCTGGTTTGGACAACCTCGTACATTTGGTCGTTACCTCTTGGCAATCCAACAACCAATCTTGGCTGGCCGTCCTTGCCCAAAACTTCATCTCCAACCTTGATAGACTCGATTGGCTGTTCAGCGCCATCGGCCATGAACACGTCGGTGCCCTTTGCAAAACAGCCAACATACGTGATGATGTCGGAGTTGGAGAACTTGGACAATGCTTGGGAAATAACAGTCTTACCGCATCCAAAGGCACCGGGGATACAGGTGGTACCACCCTGCACACAAGGGAACAAAGAGTCCAAAACACGCTGACCAGTCAACAAGGGGTAGTCGGCCGTCAATCTCTCGGCGACAGGTCTAGGCACTCTAACGGGCCACGTGTGCATCATTGAGTACGAGTGTTTCTTGCCGTCAAACTCTACTTCCAAGATAGTGTCTTCGACCTGGTAGGAGCCCTTCTCTGCAATGGACGTAATAGTACCTCTGGCACGTGGGGGCAACAAAATCTTGTGGTCGTCCAACAAGGAGTTCTCGTAGATGGAGCCGAAGATATCGCCTCCAGTGATGTGGTCACCCACCCTCAAGGAAGCAGGGTTGAAGTCGTACAGGATATCTCTGTTCAAGCAAGGCACATCAATACCTCTGGGGATATAGATGGATTCAGACGTCTCCCTGATGGCCTTCAAAGGTCTTTGGATACCGTCGTAGATGTTCTCCATCAAGCCAGGACCCAACTCAACAGACAAGGGCTTGCCTGTTCTCAAAACCGGATCACCCACGGTGACACCAGCGGTTTCTTCGTAGACTTGAATCGTGGCCTTATCGCCGTTGATACGAATGACCTCACCGACCAAGTTGGCATGGCCAACTTTCACCAATTCGTACATTGCACAGCCAATCATGTTCTCGGCGACCACCACAGGGCCCGAGACGGAGAAAATCTGCCCGTAATTGGACTCCTCGATGTCGTCCAAGGAGAGACGCTTGATTTCTTTGCGGGCATTATCTAAAGCGCCAGCCTAAGGGGAATTGTTAGTAAACGACGCTAGGATTTGGGCATAAAAAAGCAGATCAGTGGAAAGGGCATTAATTCAATATCAGCGCCGCCCGGGGAGTATCGAAGTGTGCCACATACCATCTTGAATTGGTTTGATAAAAGATTGACCAATGCGCCAGGGGCGGGCGGCACTTTATCGTTGGATTGGCAGAAACGGGGGTCGTGCGCGTGCAGATTACTATCCGGAGATCAGTGCAGGCCTGGCAGGCCGGCGAGTTAGGAGGCGACGGGCGCGCCTGATGGAAACACGTGACGCTTCGAATGTGATTGGCCAGGCCTGGTGCACCACAATAGCATGGTCCCATAAATAGAACTCTTGTGATATTCTGCGGCACGTTCAGGAGATTCTTTTATGTTTCTGGGCATGTGCGGAAAACCGAGGACTGTGGTGGTTGCTGTTCTGGTGTAGTGTCTCGTCGCACAGTTATCAGGAAGGCCAAGGCTGGCTGTGGTGCGGCTCTGATATTCCAAGCCCAGGTCTGTGAACTGCTTGGGCCCCACAGCCCGGCCACCACACTTGCAAAATTCGTGGAGTTTGTAGTCTAGAAGCGGAAACTGTTTTGTGATGCGGATGTGATGTGAATCGTTCCGAATTACGGAGGTGGTGATTTTAGTTTACGGGTGCTTTGAGAATTATTTATGGAGCGCAATTGGGCCTTAATAAACGCAGAGACTGCGAAAGTTTCCAACGTCCGGACTCGCCACTACCTTGAGCAGAAGATCAGCATATGGATAGACATATAGAATGGACATATAGAGACATATGGAATAGATATTAGAACACACATATGGAATACACAGAATGGACATATGGAGTAGACATATGGAGTAGACATTGAAGTAGACATATGGAGTAGACATATGGAATAGGCATATGGGTCGATCTATTGGATACATATATGGAATACATTTATGAAACACATTTATGGAATACATTTATGGAATACATTTATGGCATGGATATTTCGGGTGGATACATATATGTGATTCGTGTAGGGAGTACATATATGGAATGAAAATATGGAATTGATATAAGCCACAGCACCCATGCACAAAATGTTCTGAGGGCTCTACTGAACCTCGCTCCTGAATTTGGCGTTTGTTCCTCAGCCCCGGGTACCTGTATGGGACTTGGCCGGGAATCATTTTCCCACCCATGAATAGTTGCAGAACGCTGGAAACGACACTTTTTATGAAGGACCTCGGTTTTTTGTCCAGCACTCTAGTAGTGCCGATATACCGATGTCTTCAGAATCAGCGGATTTGCGTACATGTGTGGAGTACGTATATAGAATGAATATATGGAATGAATGTATGGCTTGAATGCATGGAATCGAACTATCGAATATATATATGGAAAGGATCTCTGGGATAAATATATGGAAATGAATGCAGAGACTGCGAAAGTTTCCCCCACCCTGAGATCAGCGAATCCAACTACCAAAGGAGAACAAAAAAAGAAGAATAAAAAAAAAAGAGAAAAAAAAAAGCAAGTACACCGAACTTCCGCTCGCCCAAACTCACAACAGCATCACCAGAATAGGAATACATTACTATACATACGAGTTTCGGCAGAGGCCACGAACGCTCTCACAACTTCGCACCCAATTTGGAGGCCCGGTCGAGCGCGATATCGCACATGGCATCAAAGGCCTGCCTCCGCTCCAGCAGAATGTCGCCCTGTGCAATCCGAGACTCCATGTCGAGCATGATTTCTTCGCGAGACCGGCCGTTGACAAACACCACGTAGCGGAGCCCCGGAAAGCGCTTTTCGTAGAGCGTGTTGAGCTGCGCGAGTTTCTGGGCCTCCTCTGCGCTGCCTACTAGCGAACTCTGTTCCGAGGCAGAGTGAGAAGAAAGCTTATCTTTGGAAGGCCCGAGGCGAGGGTGCGCCGAAATGATTTTGGAAACGGCGGGCGAAATGGGCGGGCGCTGTTCTTGGCGACGCAAATATTCGGCGAGAAAGCGCCGGGCGCTCTCGACGAAATCTCCATAGTTGGCGTGCGGCTTCGTCATCACAGTGTCTGTGAGGAGGCCTGCTAGCGTCGAGCAAGGCTCGAAAAGATGGTCCAAGACCTCGACTTTCTGAGCAGGCGAGAGGCAGTGCAACAGCGACGACGGAGGCAAAGTGTACATTGTCGGTTTTGCTGGCGAGATCCCGCTCCGAGGAAAAATGCAGGTCTTTATTGCACTGGCCGTGCTGGAGGCAGATAAGACAGGCTGGGGCGGGGTCGGAGATCGCCGGGGTGCGAAGGTCGTGGGGCCATCGCACCAAATAGAAACAAAACGGCACGACCTGTCGGTTCCGTTGGGCTTACACTGGCAATTTTTTTTTTCAGTCTTTATTTTCTATTCCATTCAGAATAAGGGGTTAATGCAATAATAGTCTACAGATGAAGCGGGAGAGGAAGGAACACCAGGGCGACACTCAGGTGAAGTGCTGTTGCTCACGCAATCTGCGCGCTTCCTTCTTGGTCAAGCTGCCTTGCTGGGCAATCAAAGGGTGTCTCCACCCCTTGACGTATGTGAACAAGACGTTGGCCAACTGGTCCAAGTCCGTGATGCCCAAGTCGTGGAAGTTCTTGGCGGAAGGGTCGATGGTCTGGTCGATCAAGTGTCTCTGGATCTGGTCGGGGTTGGTCTGCTTCCAGTAGATGTATTGCTTGGCCTGCGCCACGAGCTTGGCCAACGCCAAGGGCACCTTGTAGTCGCCGAAACTGTACGACAAGGGCCCGAGCTGTGTGTAGTCCTGGGTGATTCCGTGGATCATCTTGCGGATCTCCAAGAAAGACAACTTCTCGGGGCCGTACAACTCGTACGTCTGGCCGGCGGTGGAGTCGTCGTAGCCGATCTTCTCCAAGCCCTTGGCCACGTCCATCACGTGCACGGGGTAGATCTCCTTGGCGTTTCTGTTGGGCGTCCACATCTTCAACTTGGGACCCAAGTAGTTTAACAACGAGTCCTCGCGCCCGAACATGGGCGCGGGCCGCACGATGGTGCTGTCCGGCAAGATGCCCCTGACCACCTGCTCGGAAATGCCCTTGGTGGCGTAGTAGATCGAGTCCGACGCCGGGTTGGCGTTGTACGAGGACACGTACACGTAGCGGGCACAGCCGGCGTCCTTCACCGCCTGCGTGATGCGCTCGGTGATGCCGATGTTGACGTCGGCCATGGAGAAGTTCTTCGTCCAGTAGTCCGCACCGATGCAGTTGAACACGATGTCCGAGTGCGCCACCAGCTCCTCGACGGAGCGCAAGTTGCGGGGGTCGAACTCGACGAAGTTGACCACGCCCAAGTCGCCCGTGACCTTCAAAAAGCGTTTTTTCAAGTCGTCGCGGAACGGCACCACGACGTTGGTGCCGTGGCGGGCCAACTTGGACGTCAAGTAGCGGCCCAAGAAGCCCAGCGCGCCGAAAACAGTGGCGGTGTAGCCCGTGCGTGACGAGCGGCCGCCGGGGCCCACGGCCACGTTGACTTTTCCGTTGCGGGTGATGTTGATGTCGGAGTCCAAAACGGACGTGTAGAGCAGTCTGCTGGCCCGGGAAACGGGCCTGCTGAGCGGGGTGGTTCTCAACATTTGCGGCGGGCGGGGGGCAGAATTGAGAGGGTGGGGTCCTTGGGGCGCGAGGCGTGCAAAGGGGGTGTTGGCGAGGGGGAAGGTGCGCTGGATTTGCAGATCCACTGGGTGGAAAAGGACGGGTGCAGTTGAGCTTGGCTGAGCGGTCCTTCACACAGGCGCACGAAATGACAAACTCTGGGCGCTGGTTGGTTGGATGCGTGGGCACACCACGACCGGCCTGCACCGCGCGGGGCTTTAATAGGGTGTTTATTATGAGTAATAGGGTGTTTATTATGATTAATAGGGTGTTTATTATGGTCAATAGGGTGTTTATTATGGTCAATATGGGGTTTATTATGGTCAATACGGGGTTTATTATGGTCAATACGGTGTCTAATATGGTGTTTAATACGGTGTTTAGTACTGTCTTTATACGGTCTTTATACGGTCTATATAGCGGTCTTTAGTGCGATCTTAAATACGGTATTTAGTACGGTATTTAATACGGTGTTTAATAAGGTCTTTAAAACAGTCTTGAATACGATCGTGAATACGGTTTTTATTACTGTATTTATTACGGTCTTCAATAGGGTTTTTATTACGGTATTTATTACGGTCTTTATTTCGGTCTTGAATACGGTGTTTAATATGGTGTTTAATACGGTATTTAGTACGGTGTTGAATATACGGGGTTTATACGGGGCGTTTAATACGGTGTTTATTAGGGTGTTTACTAGGGTGTTTAATAGGGTGTTTAATAGGGTGTTAAATACGGTGTTTGATACGGTGTTTTATACGGTGTTTTCTACGGTGTTTGATACGGTGTTTGATACGGCCTTTGTTACGGTGCTTATTAGGGTCTTGAATACGGTGTTTATTACTGTATTTAATAAGTTGTTTTATAGGGTGTTTAATGGGGTGTTTAATACGGTCTTGAATACGTTCTGTGATACGGTGTTTAATACGGTATATAATACGGTATTTAATACGAGGTTTGTACGGTGTTTGAAAAAGTCTAGAATATGTCTTTAATACGATACGATCTTTATTACCGTCTTTATTACGGTATTTAATATAGTCTTGAATACGGGCCTTTGGTATATCGTTGTCTTTTTCACCGGGCTGGTATGGGCTGGACAAATGTAGAGTGCTGTTGCTCTGCTGGTGGGGCAAATGCCTGGGTTGGGCAAGCCGGCGTGGTTCCTGGTGCTGGTATACTGTACTGGTGCTCCCAGCTAGGACGCTCATCAGTAGCAGGCATGTCCCGTGATGATAATTGGGACAGAAGTATCTTCATTATAGCAGGGACTGGCTGTGTTGGATGGGATAGCACCAATTTTCGAACGTTCTGTGGTGTAGCCTGAGGCCACTGGTCGCAACTAGTTGATGCAAGCGACACAACGGGAGGGCAGAATTGGAAGTAGAGACTGCCGAATTGTAGACTTTGCTGAAAGGCTGGATAGGGTGGAGCACTTGTTGGAACTTACGCCCCGAAGCAGACGTGGTAAAGACACGGAGAACATGGCTTTATTATGAGGGAGCAGTGCTGTCGCACAATCCTTGTTTCTCGGGCGAAACGGTATTGTTACTGGTAAGAATCAACCTGCGACAAGCACTTTCCAATTGAAAACAAGGCCTCCCTACCAGCGCTGCAAATATGCTTGGCCTGCTCATGGCTGCATCCATTCTTCACTACACAGAGAGCGTATGCGTGGTTCACAAGCTCCATTCCATCTGGCTACCTGGCTTAGTCGTCCTTGCTTCTTGGTTTATGAAAGCATCGATTTCGCATATATTTTTCTTCACCTCTTAGTTTCATCCTATTTAAATGGCACCTTCAACCAATTTGGTTTTTGGACATTCTATTGGGTTCATTCTTGGCTTCATTGCATTTGATTCTTGGCTTCAACCAATTCAGTTCTTGGGCTCATCCTACTTGAGTAGCAGTTACTACGTCACTTTCATGCCTTGGAAAACATCGCCGTTAATCTGTCATCAAAAACCACCACTGGCGACGGTCGCCTCATTAACGACCAAAGCGTATACATACCGATATCAACTCGCACGCACATGGCAATTATATGTTTCACCATCAGAAGCAAAGACACTCCAGTCTCAAGTGAGACCTGTTGGCTCTTGAAAAAGTCGAGTCTTGTATGAGCACCAGTGAGAAGACTCAAAAACCAGACACAGTTGCTGATAACCCGGATACGACTTATTACGTAATCCGTCAGCGCAAATAGCGTCCTGAAGATCTGCTAGGAAAAGCCAAATATGTCAGATAACGGCCCAGCCAGCCCGTGTGAAAGAAACCACCAAAAGGAATTTCACTCCACACCAGGAACACAGACGTACCGTGACACAGCTACACCTCTTGTTCATGGAGATCATTTATTACCTTCGGTCAGAAGCAATAATACATTAATGAGAAGAAAGAGAGCGGGGGTGAGACGTTGCGGTTACAGGGAGAATGCCAATCGTAAAAAGATCATAAGAAGTAGTCAGGGGTCTTCCGCGTCACCGTCGGCTCGCCCGGTCTCACAGACGGGTCGTACTGCAAAAACTGTCTCTGATGGTTCTCGTCAACCTCCATGATCGCCGCCTGGTTGCCGCATCTGTAGCAGTAGTTGGGCGCACTGAAGATCGTCACCACGCTCTCCTGGTGCGACCACGAGAAGCCCTCCATGACCAACTGGTGCGCACGGGCAATGAGGCTCAAATCGTTGGTGTGGTTGAACTGCTCGGAGATATCCTGGCCAAAAGTGAAACCAGCTCCTCTTGGAGAGATACCCCAGCCGCCGCGGTCGTCCGGGTCCGACCACAACAAGTCGCACATGGGGCCCTCGTGCGGCACCTCCTGGATTCGGTTCAACTCACGCACCTGGTCGATGGTCTCGATCATGGGCGACAAGCCTCCGTGCAAACAGAACACTTTGTTGTCCACAAGAGCCGTGATGGGAAAGTAGTCGAACAAGTCCGTGAACAACTTCCACACCGCGGCCGAGCCGTATTTGCGCAAGCACTCGTCGTAGAAACCGTACACCTGTGTGATCTGGCGCGACTCGTGGTTGCCTCTCAAGATGGTGATTCGGTTGGGGTAGCGCACCTTCATGCACACCAAATACGACACGGTCTCGACGGAATAGTAACCACGGTCAACGTAGTCGCCCATGAACAAGTAGTTGGTGTCCGGGCACGGCCCGCCGATTTTAAACAACTCCATCAAATCGTGGAACTGCCCGTGCACGTCTCCACAGATCGTCACGGGCACCTGCACCGGCTGCACGTTCTCCTCGAATTGCAAGACGTCGATGGCCATTTCGCACAAGCGCTTGACGTCTGCCTCGGACAACGGCTCGCACTGGGTCAACTTCTCGATCCATTGGTCTAACTGGTTGATGGACGAGATGCTCACGTCGGGCTTTTTACTTAGCGCCGCGTCTTTTGTGAGCTGCACGTCCTCGACGGCGTCCTCCATGGGCACGTCTGTGTCTAAATCCATATTTGTGTTTCGGGGACTGGCGGGTAATTCAGGGGGTTCGGACCGATGCTCAACTGGTCCGGTTCGGGGTCTCCTTCCTGGGGTCTAGTCAAAAACGCAATGCGTGACAACTAGAGCTCTGGTGGTCAGAGTCGAGTTTTGTGGAAGCCGCGGATGTATAGGCGCAATTCAGAAAGTGGCGCCTTATTGGTGGTCAAGATGCTGCTTCTAGAAGGGTTTGGGGCAACTAGCAGAGAGTAAAACCAGATAGCAAGGAACGGGGCAAGAAAGGCCGGGGATCGAAAACGGACAGCCGAGGTATTTTTCTATTTCTAAATTTCCAACAGCCGGTCTCAAATAGCTTTCCTGGCGGCGGAAAATGTGTGGTGGTGTGCTGGGAATCCAGTGGGTGTTTTCGAGAGAGCAACAAGTCGAAAGGGTGGGTCTCGTTGTCCAGGTTTTTTTTCTCTCCTCTGATCTCCTCCACTCGTCGAAAAGTGGCGCGGTGCACGGGTGCCGGCCGACTCGCACGCTCACCAATATAAGAGTTATGACGTACTTGGAATCGGCCCGGTGCAGACCAGCCACCAGGCCGATTGTTCACCCAGCGAAAGGAGGAAAATGCCCCTTGTATAATCCTGGCTGGTTTGGCCAAATTTCGTGGCTTTAGCAAAACTCATGTAGAAGCTGGCCGACATCTTATGTGGCTTTTCTGCGGCTCTTTTATGCGAGGGACAGGATGCGCCGCCTCGCTTCTTGGCTTCGCGTTGCAATGGGCCACGTGAGCAGAAACACCATTTGGCCCGCAAGCCCTTGAGTCCTTGCGTTGTGCTTGACCGGTGTTCCCGGCGCTCCTGAATTTTCTGTATCTATCATAATCATAACTCTCTATTTGACGCTTCTTAAGGTGTCCCACAGAACCACATTGCTCCTGTCCGTCAGACACCTATGGTGGTGGCCTTGCACGCACGCACGCATGTCTAGTTGGTGGTGAATCTAGCAAACCAGCCACTGATCTGCGGGTCCTCCATGTGTTCTTTGCTGCGGTCGTTCACGTAAGTAGACAAAATCGTCGTGAACTGGATCAAAGCACTGAGGCCCTCGGGCATGAACTCGTCTTCCGGGGTCATCTGTAAGTAGGCGGCCAACACTTCTAGAAGCACAGTCGTGAATGTGAACTTTTCCAAGAGAAACTTGAACTGTGGCTCCGCCTCGCCCATGATCACATTCAAATGCATGATGAGCTCCATTAGCTCGCCCGACACGTACTGGCGAGGAAACTTTTGCGAGCTCACCAACACTAGCTTGAACCGCACCGCCAAACTTAGGAAGCGTATCACCGCGTCGTCCCCGGACCGCCTTAGCAAGTGGCCCGATTCGAATATGGTGTTGATGTTCAGCTTGAGCGCAGCATACGTGAGGTCCTGGTCTCGCGACTCTGCGTTCCTATACTTCCAAGCAAAAGGCTCGGGCATCTTGTCTCGCGGGTCCTTCATGGAGTCCAACACGCGAAGGAGCTCGTAGTATGAGTTGACGAAATGGTTGTCGGTGATCACCTCGACGCCCGGGTTTTGCGATTGCGGCGAGAAAGTGCCGACATTCCGGAACACGGCGTCCGTGCCAAAGAGGAACATGTGTCTCTCCCAGAGCTGGAGCGTTCGGCGCAACTCAGCCTTCCGGTACATGTCTTTGTTGGTGTGGGGTGTCAACAGATCGCAGTGTGCCATTGCTGCCCGCAAGTGCACGAGTTTGTAGCTGTTTGGAGCGGCCTTCAACATGAGGTACGAGAACTGGTGGAGCTCGGCCAACGCAAGATAGAACTGCGTGTCGAAGTTGATTTTGTCCTGGCTTTGGCCAAACATGACGAGCCGTTCGCACGCGGATCGGATCAGCAAGATGTGCACCTGCAAACCCCAGAGCATGGCGTCGTAGTCCGCAGGCTTATCGACAAGCAGAAGCATCTCCAAAAGCACGAGGCAAAGCGTGGTCACCGCGTACCTTGTCAGGTTGGTGTCCACGGAGCCGCCCAAAACATGGGGGCAGCTTTGCAAACGGTCCATCAATGGGATGGCGTCCTCGGCGATACCAGGCAAGGTGAACGGCACGAGCTCCTGGAGAAAGTCCACGGGAAGCCTTGACAAGACGTTTACCACCAGCGCCAAATCAGGAAACGAGCTGCCGGAGTCGAGCTGGGCCACGAGGTGGCGGTCGGAAGCGATGCCCGAGAACTGGGCGCCCACCGAGTTGATGGAGTCGATGGTTTTCTTGCGGAACGTCTTGGGCCCGGACTTCTTCCGCACGCGGAGTTCGGTGCACTTGACGTTTGTGGCGACGCACAGCCGGCACGGCCGGGAGTTGTCACATTTGGTTTTCCTGATCGAGCACACGTCACAAGCCCGGCTGGTGTTTCTTTTTTTCCGGGTGGGTTTCTTCGATGCCGAGCCATTTGTATCCACGGACTGGCTGGTGTCACTCAGAGAGCCGGGGTCGCCCAGGTAGCCGCTTTTAATTGAGTAGGCAAAATACGGGTTGCTGGTCATGGTGGTCGGAAGGTGAGGTTGTGTTTGCCGAAAGCGGGGCGCAAGCACAATAGGAAGCTCGGGGCCCGGGAATCAGGCGCGGGTTTATTGCGCTTGCGTTGGTGGGGCTGATGTGACGAGTTCGCCGACGGGGTGTTGCGAGTTTGTACGTCTCGAGAACTGAGCAATGATGAAAGCGGGGTACGCTGATGCCTGAGGCGTTGGCGTGGGTGGATTGGCCTGTGGACGGGAAGATGCGGGCCGCAAAAAAAAAAAGGGCCCGAAGATGGACTTGTGGGTAGATGCAGCAGGAGAAAGCGCTGGCCCTGGCTTTGGCTGGGGTGATGTGGTGGTTTTTTTTTGTGTCCGCTGGCCGGCTCCAGAGAGTCTTGGCATGTCATACAGGGCCGATGATGTTCAGGTATGTCGGGTTCAGGCGCGGCCGAGTCACTGATGACGTCGCACTCTATATTAGCATGCCCGCCCGGGACCTGCTCCAGCAACAGGGACCCCGACAGGCCCGTCTTTTGCCAAAAAAAAAAAAACAACAGCAACACGAAAACACAAAAGCAAAACAAAAGCATAACAAAACAAAGTCTTTTCACAGACGCGTCTCGCCGGGCAGCCATGGCGGCTCAGATCGCGCCCATCGTGTCGTGGAACAGCTTTTGCCACCGGGCCATCTGCTCATACGTGCGGAATTTGGCCTGCAAGATGCGGGCCTCGCGCGCGCCCATCGGGCCAGGGCCTTGCCAACCAGGCTCGGCCCAGGCGCCGCCCAAAGCCGGGGCCGGCGCGCACGCTGCCTGGAGATACGGGAGCATGGCGAGCGCCGCGCCACGGCTGCCCGCGTACTTGTTCTCGACGCCCCGGGGCACGAGCACGCGCGAGCCAGCAAAGGCAACGTGGGCGAGCATCCGCACGAGCCGCGAGTTCTGCGCCTGCGAGCCCGAGATGTACACGTCGGCCACCGGGCCGGCCGCGCGCGCCAACCGGCAGTATAACTGCCTGGTCTGGAACACCAAGAACTCCACCACCAAGTAGTACTTGAGCACAAGCACGTCCACGGACTTGTCCGCCACCAGGCAGCCGAGCGAGTCGGCGCCCGCCGCGTTGCGGCCGTCCACCAAGACCTCGCCCATGCGGAAGTCGCCGTACGGGCTGCGGTTGCCGTGCCTGTCGCCGTAGTACAAGAAGTGGCGGGCCAACACGACCAACGAGTGGCCGCGGCTGAGCTCCAACGCGCGGGCGCGCTCCTCCACAAACGCAAACGGCGGGCGGGCGCCAATGAGCGCGGCGTGCTCGGCGAAAAGCTCCGCGAACAACAGGCCGGTGGCCGGCTGGCCGAACGAGTACACGGGCGCGGCGAGGAGCTGCGAAAAAGGGCCCCAGAGCCCGGCCGCGGGCCGCGCGCGGCTGCCGTCGCCCGAGGCCACGAAGCACGTCGAGGTGCCGGCCACCATGAGAAGCGCGCCTGGCCCCGCGCCCCGCGCCGCGCGCCCGCTGGCCGCGTGCCCGGCCCAGCCAGCGTAGCAGTCGATGCAGCCGTGGGCCACAAGAAGGTTGCCGAAACAGCCGAGCGGGGAGCCCACGTGGGGGAACGCGGCCGGCGGGTCTAGCGTGTTGGGGGTGCAGCAGACCCGGGCGGCGATCTGGAGGCGCAGGAGTATGTCGCTGCCCCAGCCCTTGACGGAGCCGTCCATGGCGCGCAGGCCCGCGGCGAAGTCGGGCGCGTCGCCCGCGAGACACGGCACCAGCCCGTCGCGCCGGTAGCCGCCCGCCATGAACACGTAGGAGACCCAGTCGTACAACTCGAAAACACAGATTTCGTTTTGCGGGGTGTCTGGGGGGACGTTCGGGGGTGCGGGGCGGGGGCCACTGGAATTGGGGCCACTCGAATCAGGGCCACTCGAATTGGGGCCACTGGAATTAGGGCCACTGGAATTAGGGCCACTGGAATTGGGGCCACTGGAATTAGGGCCACTGGAATTAGGGCCACTGGAAT